TTATTTACTTCGCTAAAATGTTGTTAAGACTAAAAATCTTCTTGTTAGCAATGTTCAAATACTTTGCTAAAAGGTAGTTAAGAAATTACTAAGGACTTTCATTTAAATATTGCACCTGCTTGTTTGGTAATGTTATAATTGTAATTTTGTTGAAAATCATTTTAGCAACAGCAAAATGGCAGACTGATTATCATAAAACTTTACAAATTAGACTTCAGCCTTGCCTTCCTCTGATAAGCTTTATAGCATTCAGTCTATGCCAAAATCTAAAATGATTTGGACGAAACATTCTGGATTGGAGTAATTATGGATATTTAGTATTCAGATAATTTCAATAATTTTTTGTATTAACACCCAACTCACTCAGTAAGAATATCATGAAGATTACAAAGGAACAAGTGTAGAAAAAAAATATATTTTGTCCTGGAGTAATTGAAGGATTATAATGTGCCTAACACTCTTAATCAAGTAACCTTTAAATGCTTATACCTAGAAATAGTCTTCGGAATATTATTAGATTCCTAAAAATAGTTCTCTTCACTTATTATAAATAGTTACAGTTTTAAAACCTTATACTATTTAGAAAAATACCAACATATATTTTTCATGAGGAATTGAATATTGTAAATTATATTGGAATATCCAACGCGTTAAAGTCTCTTTTTCGTTATCAATGCAATAAAGGTGACATACTTAACTATAAAGAATACATACGAGTTCAAAATTAACGTCTTGGTTTTATTATTGATGGATATTACTCGGTGTCGGTAGAGCAAGGTGGAATCAGGTGAAATATGTACTATTTTTAGGTTTTCATATGAACTTGTATGTAGAAAATAATTATCATTCATTTACAATGCAATATTTATTAAAAAATATACGTTGAAACAGATTTTGATTTTGAATACCTGAATGCAAAAAAAACACATTTTATTACTTAACAAACGTATTTTTGGAGTACCTAGCTTATTTTTACATCACAGTGGAACAAATAGAATAATAAAAATGATTTTGTTTTGTAAGAAAAATGTTGCTTTCCACATTTCGACCTTGTCAAAATGAAGGAAATATGGAGAATATGAGAAACTGATTGATTTACCTACAGGTAATAAACTATGTTTGTAATAAAAACGCTTGATATCGGTTCATAAATTTTTAACCATCTTGATTGAAGTTCATCATCAAAGAACAGTTGTTTTTGTTTGCTATTTCTACAAATGGTTTTCCTGAAAAATATGACCATAACATTCTGGAACCTCTAATTACCGTTACTGAGATTAATGTACACTATACACGATGATGCAACAGCACTGGGACTATCTGGAGCTAAAAAAAGAAAGTAAATGTCGTTGATAGATGTCCATAACGGTTATTAAACCAACTGAGGAGGTGATAGTGTGGTAATTCTATAAAACAGAACTGAAAACAAAATTTAGAAGACGAGTTCAATGGGAAGGGCATTTCACACACAACACTTTGGGCGGGACAAAGTTGGTGCGGAAAGAGTTACCTGAAGAAGGAAAAAAATCCCTCAAAACCCTCGATTCATAAGCTCTCTCCTGGAAACTATTATCAAATGTGAAGCAGTAGGTGAACGCACCCGTCACCCCCCACCACGCCGTCCCAAAACCAGCTCCGCAGCCCCCCGTCCCCCGCCCCGAACCGGTTACCTAGATGTAACGCTCGCCGTATGTATTTCTAGCTATCTCACTAGTCATACACTAGTATTGTGATCCTAAAAAGGGAGACAGACCATCTTGTAACCCTATTGGCGATTGGTGGAGCCGCCGCGCCAATCCCGACGGGCGTTATATTTCAGGATCTAGTGTCAGACATTTATATTTGTCGTAACGTGCGAAATCTCGTTCAGATCGCCTTTCGAACGTAAGTGACTTGGTGCGTCGTTGCTGTGTACACTGCTTAACACAAATCTGTGTGTCTTGGTTTAAGGATTTTTCTGATAAAGATTGTGAAGTGTTTTTCCCGATGCCATATAGTGATATGTGTTGACCTGTGGATGGTTTTTCGATATAACGTCGCATTCAGTGTCATACTAGCAGGTTTTTTCCGAAAGTGGCGTCCTGTGCGTACCCTTTTGTTAATGTTTGGATTTTGAGCCAAAGTGGTCTGTGTTTCATCAGCTTAACACAACTATTTAGATCTATTTTTTTTTACCTTGTAGCTTAGATTTAACAGTGCTAGTATGACATGGAATGTCAGGAGAAAGTAGTGAGCTTGAAAAGAGTAGTGAGCTTTTTTTCATGGTGTGGGATGCCAGTTGAGACCTACTTAAATTACCAATGACATAACTCCGGTTGAAATACGACCCGTGGTTCCAACATCGACTCGACGCCGCTTAAACATTTAGAAATATTTCACAAGTAAAGCTTGAATTTGGCAAAATTTAATGACAGGCAGTCAAGAACTTCAACCAAACTTAACATTTGCGTTTGTTCGTTATGCAATGCCTGGATGTGGCACATGTATTTGTGGAAACAGAGGCCGCCATCTTGAATTTTTCCGGTGACTCTCGCACCTTACATGGCTCACTCGATCCACTTGAAATGTGCTTGGTCTATTTTTGAAACGGGGCGCTCACGGCGATCGTGAAGTCGATGGGGAAACGTTTTAATTTCGCAATTGTTATTTCACTGGAATCGGTTTTTGTCAAATTTAAATCGTAAATAGAACTGTGACCTGGAAAATAATTTGATTTTGCAAATGTATGGCTGGCAGAACTGGAGTTAAATTCAAGTTAACTTTTGTTAAATTAACACCTCTGTCATAAATTATTGAATGGAATAGTGATATACCTACATCCTGGAACTTCAACAAAAATCATTTACGTTTTCAAAAAAGAAAAGGCAGTTTAAGAAAGGCAACGTTTATATATACTCAAATTGTTTTCCATTTGCTACACTAGTTTTTGTTATAATAAAAAAATACCAGATCCCGACACCTGTTTTCTGCGTGAGGACAAAATTCATTAACGCGCCCAAAAACCCCGTAACTTTTTGAATGATTCTACTACTTACTACACATTTTGAACCGGTTCCAATTTCGCAAGGAATTCGCACACACAACATGTTATGTTTCGGGCGCTCCAAAATTTACGTAACAATCGTTTTAAAAATGGACCCGAAGCTGAAAAATAGTTGAGGTTGTTGGTAATCATTTGGCATGGGCGATAGTGGATTTTCAGCATGTCTGTTTATAGTATGCCACACATTCTGTGCTATATTTAGGGGCCGCTAAAAATAGACCGCGTTCATCGGAGGAGACCGTATTTCCTGTTAATTTACATTATGGGGCGATTAACACCACCTAGTAACTGAAAATAATACACCGCGATTAACCTTCGTTTTGGTGGGCCAGTTCGTCGGTGTCCGATTTAAAGTTGATACCGGTACAGGAGTTATATCGGTGTATCTTGACAGTTTCCAAGATTCGTCATTACTGCAATAAATTTTTGGCCTAACCTCGTTAGAAACAAACTGTAGAAATCCTAATAAAGTATTCAACAGCAAAAAAAATGGAAAACTAGATCAAAATAAAAAAGGAAAAATACGGGTCTCGTATTTTTTAATCTATTCATTTTGAGACGTAGTTAAAAAGTTTGTCTTATTCAAAAGCTGTCTCAAAACTTTCGAGTCATTATAAGTAAGTTTTCTTCAGTGTCAATTAAAAAATATTTTTCACACTATTAAATATATCACAATTTTTTGAATTTTGTTTTATTCAATGTCTTATTGAAGAACAATAATCTACTTTTAAGAAATTTATTTTTTTGTTTTAATGCTTTGGTAAAATTTATAGACATGAATCAATAATGCTTAATAAGACCAAATTTTATAATTTTTCACTATTCGAATTTCTGATTTGTTCTAAATTGTTAAAGATTGAGTTCTTTCTATCAGGGATAACCAAAAAATACATACAAGGTGTTAATTAATTACGTCGACAAACAATAAGTGATTTAAAGCCAAAAAGATTATATAAGCATGGGTCACAAATCAATAGTTTTCAATAGTGTTGGAAAAAAAAACAAAATCGCCCGTTCTAATCTAATCTGGATATTTTCGATCAATACCTGCAAGTGCTTGTAGTGCTTCCAAGGGAAAATATATCTTTTATTTTATTGCAAAAAGGAAGGATTTATTGCTTTTTTTTTAACTTTTATTAATTCCGAGAAAATAAGACATTTTTTTTAGGGTACTTCTACTTCTAACAAAATGCAAACTTTCTATGCCATTGATTTTATCTCGAAAGGAAATTCCGTGAACTTTTTTTGAAAAATGGGTAGTTCTAGAATTATTTTACATTTTGTGGAGATGAGTTAGAAGATTTTTATTTATTTTATGAAACCATTCTTGCCTAACCTAAAGCTCATTCTCGTACAAATAAAAAATTCAAAGCACGTGCCACTGTATCACGTATTTCAGTTAGGAAAAAAAAAGAAAAATACATCTTTGATATAATTAAAAAAATTCAAACTAGGCAAAAGGCTAGTTTTCCTAAAAACGTTATTGCTGTTCTTGAGAGGAAAGAAACCTAAGTTTTTGATCTCTTTATGCTGTTGACGTTTCTAGACACATATTTTCTTTATCTTCAGAAAAAAACTGAAACTGTGTCGTTCTCTTGATTTCTGTGGATGAGTCATTTCTAACTTCTCATAAATCTCTCGCTCACACTAGAATTCTATTAGATTTGTCGCGTCTTCCGTATCTGCCCTATGTCTCTATAGGGAGCTAATATCCTACTGATTAAAAAAAAGATAATTTCAGGTATTTCCATTACCTGGAACTTAGAAACGACCTGTCCACAAAAACCAAATACCAGAACGACATGGGCCAGTGTACACAACAAATATAAATACCAACCAGCGGACTTAATCTCCAATTTCAGAGTTTCTTCTGAAGAGGAGAGCCTGTAAACCAAGTTAAAGCTTGCCTGCTTGTGCTTTTGCTAATCCTCACTAGTTGAAAAACAACCAAGTGTGTTCAAAGAGCGTATTTTTTTCATAGGAAGGCTCTAGGGCTGTTAAACGTGTCTCGATAGCCCCTCAAAAGTCCGTACACCATGCCTAAGCCCGCTGCACAAGAAGGGGACGATCCCGATCCAACCCCATACTTGTTCGTTTCTCTTGAACAGAAACGTATCGACCAGACCAAGCCCTATGATGCCAAAAAGTCGTGCTGGGTACCGGACGAAAAGGAAGGTTTCTTACTTGGAGAGATCAAGGGCACCAAGGGTGATCTTGTTACCGTTGGCATCCCCGGAGGAGAGGTAAATACCAACCACTTTAGTACAAGTCTTTTAGGTGATAAATATCACGTTTGGTCATCATCTGGTATTTTCCCAGTGAGATCATGATTCAACGTTTGCGAATGTTGATGTAACGTTTTTTGATCTTCATAATCTCATTGGATAAGTGCCAGTGTTTTCAAAATTCTAGAGTTTGATGAAATAAACCTGTTTATATTACCAAATTAGTTTTAAAACGAAATTTTACCATCACATGTATTAACTGTGTTTGTGAGAGTAGGAAAAGACATTTAAGAAGGAAAATGTGCACCAAGTCAACCCTCCAAAGTACGAAAAGGTCGAAGATATGGCCGATTTAACCTACCTTAACGACGCATCTGTCCTACACAATTTGAAGCAGCGTTACTATTCCAAACTCATCTACGTAAGTACTTTTATACTGCTATTAAACCTTGTTTTTCTTCTCTCGCACAGGAAAAGGCCTTCAAAAAGGAACAAGTGACCCAGGTCAACCCGCCCAAATATGAAAAATGCGAGGATATGTCCAACTTGACATATCTTAATGACGCTTCCGTATTACATAACTTGAAACAACGTTATTATAACAAACTCATCTACGTAAGTCAGGAAAGGTTTTCTTTTGCCCTCTCGAGACCTTCCACTGGGCAACTTGGATTTACTCCTTCCAGTGTGTTATATTTTTCAAAATACTTGTCCTTGTCCCCATCGAAAGAACGTCATGGGGATGGAAATAACTCCTTTTCTATCCTTTGTTTATAAAATTCATCGATCCCTGATTGAACTAAGGGAACCTTTGAGTATGACTAAGTCAAAGGAAATGTATCCTGTCCTTGTCCCTACAGAAATGTATGTAGGGACTGTATTCAACTGGCAAACAAAGGCAATATGGAATTTGCTGGTTTGCCGCTTTTTCCCATATTCTTCTCTTACGCTTCCATTCATCTTTCTTCATATTAAAGACATATTCCATTTCACATCATTTCCCTCTACATAACAATCATTCAACACCCTCTTAACACAAACAAAGATTCCCGCAAAATTACGATGATGGGAAGTATAACACCACCAGAAAACTCGTTTCCATTCGACAATCATTTAACCACATTTTTCACATATAATCATTATGGTAACCATTGGGAAAATGGTCTTACCCAGCCAGATTCTTGGAACTACCTCTAGGATTCATCATCGAGTTCCTCATAATTAGGAACACTTGAGGAATTCGTGGTTTACCTTTTTATGACACTTTTACCTGTGCTATACGTATTTGGTCCTTGTGTGTTGTAAATGTACCATATTTTACCAGAATATGATAGAATATGGTACAATGAAACAATGAAAAAATATACATAATAGCTTCTCTAGATTATATTCACCACGCATATTATTGTGTATGTTTTTCCATGTGTTGCTGAATGTTTTGTACGTAGTCCTTTGTTATCACATGCCCAATACTTGCAGACATACTCTGGTCTTTTCTGCGTTGCTATCAACCCCTACAAGCGCTTCCCCGTATACACCAACCGTTGTGCCAAGCTATACCGTGGCAAGAGGCGTAATGAAGTACCACCACACATTTTCGCCATTTCTGACGCTGCCTACGTGAACATGTTGACCAGTAAGTATATATAAGCTGTTGAAACTATGAAATTATTCTAATGGCTACCTTCCTCCTTTACAGACCACGAAAATCAATCTATGTTGATTACGTAAGTATCCCAAGAAAACTTGTGGAGAAGACATTATTTTCGGTCTTTCTCCACCACCGAGAGTTACTAATTTGAATTTCTGCCCCCAGTGGCGAGTCTGGTGCCGGAAAGACTGAGAACACGAAAAAGGTAATCGCTTACTTCGCCACCGTCGGTGCCTCGTCCAAGAAACCAACCGAAGAACAAGCCAAGAAGGGTAACTTGGAAGATCAAGTCGTACAAACTAACCCTGTTCTTGAAGCCTTTGGTAACGCCAAGACTGTCCGTAACGACAACTCTTCTCGTTTCGTAAGTTACGGACGATTCTGTTCCTCTTAGAAATATCTAATTATGCACTTGTTTAGGGTAAATTCATCCGTATCCACTTCGGTCCTACCGGAAAACTTGCTGGTGCTGACATCGAGACTTGTAAGTTTGGAAGGGAAGTTTAGTGAATGACTGGAATAACGACTTGTTTTTGCAGATCTGCTCGAGAAAGCCCGTGTCATTTCTCAACAGTCACTGGAAAGATCTTACCACATCTTCTACCAGATAATGTCTGGTGCTGTCCCTGGATTGAAGGGTAAATTATTTTGAGGTTCTTACACAGTATAGGGGATATCCACCAAGGATCTATAATTTATTTTATTAAGTTTACTAAAGGCTACCAAAATATTTGCTTCGCCCAATATTTACGAAAAATTGGTGGATGTCCAACTTAAGAATTGAAAAAAAAATCAGTCTTTATATTTTATTTTATTTCCAGGAGGATCTTAGAAATATAGAATACTGTTAATAATTTACCGAATGTACCTATACAGGGCGTCTAATTTCTCTGTTCCAAACATTCTACTTTTAGTTTTCAAAAAAAATTTTTCTGTATGTTAGCACTAAAAAATGTGTTTCGCAAATTGTTACAAAATGTCTACATTTTCGTTTATTTACTTCAATTTCTTCGAAAATTCAGCGGTTTCTTTTGTAGTGGTTGTTGGCATACTTTCCATTAACAGATCTACTGCAACTTCTTCAATTTTCAGTTCAACTAAGGAGAATATTTTCCATATAATGTAATATGTCCTCTGAGTATGTGTCTTGCTGTTAGGATTTTTCATAACAACTTTTTGCCTTCAATGTTTTGCATTGTCACATTTAGCAGTTCTTCTCTTCTAGTCCCATGAACGCCCATTATTAAAATAATATTAAAAAAAAAACATAATTAGAGAATATGATAACTGACTACTTTTAATAAAAACTGTTTATCAGGGACTTCTTGTATAAATGTTTCTATTTATACTTTCGTTAAAATCTTAGACCTCTTTGGACGATCTTCAACAGATTTACTTTTCAAATATGCCATCAGTTTTGAGAATTCTTTCCTGTTGATGCTTTCAGAACAAAGTTGCAAAGCTCCTTTTGCATAAAACTATTACTTAAACTAATTGTCCAATCAAATTAGATTTTTACGTGCTAAAATTTAGTTCACTAAACAAAGACAAGCAAAAATTAGGAAATTCTGTAGAATTAAATAAACTACTTTGCCCCAGCTCAAGGCTTTATTTTCATTAAAAAAAGAACTAAACATTTTAGAAAAAAAATCTATCTTTGAAACGAAAAAAGATTTTTTTACGAAACTTTCAGAATATGTAGTCTTTGGCAAGTAGAATAAGTATATTTTTGTAAAATTTTAAAATATTTGGCAGTTTTTGCAAAAATGGAGTTTTTCGAAAAAAATATATTTTTTTCAAGTTTCAATAAATCATACAGTAATGCACTCACGTGACCCATTTTGGGCTTAAAATTTTCGCGAAGAGTTGTACTTTTCCATGCAAATTATGCACGCGTTGCAAAATAATTGAAAATATTCGAAAAACTACCGAAACTTTGACTTTTTTTTTTTCGGGTTGACAGATGTAGATCTTTTCCTTATCGTTGAAATTTAATCAGATTGGCATTACTGCCGTTTGAAACCTAACATTTTTCCACAAATTAAAAAAAAAATTGTCCTCTGACCAACTGGAGACGAAATTAAGTTATTATTTCAACGATAAGAAAAAGATCTACATTTTTCGACCCAAAAAAAGAAGTACCTTAAAGTTTCGGTAGATTTTTCGCATGTTTCCAATTATTTTGCAATACGCGCACAATTTGCACAGGAAAGTACAACACTTAGAAAAAGTTTTAAGCCCAAGATGGGTCACGCAAGGGCATTACTTTATGGTTTATTAAAACTTGAAAAACATTTCTTTTTTTTTTGAAAAACTCAACTTTTGCAAAAACTATAAAATATTTTGCAATTTTACAAAAATGCACTTATTGTACTTGCCAAGGACTACATATTCTGAAAATATCATAAAAAGATCTTTTTTCGTTTTAAAGATACGGAAGTTTTTTAAGAAAATGCGATTTTTAGTCGTTTTTTGCAATAACAAATCTGTTTACCAATTCACATCGGACTGGGCTTAAAAGTTCTACAACTTTTGTATAAAACGTTTTTTTTTCTAAAATGTTAAATTTTTTGGAATGAAAAAAACTGTTGTTTGCGAACTTTGGACGCCATTCTGAAAATAAAGCCCTAACATTCAGCAGGGGTAAACTAATTCATTCAATTCTACGGAATTATTCCTAATTTGTACGTGTTTTTGTTTACTGAACTAAATTTTGGCGAAAAAACAAGGTATTTTCGACAATTTGACTAATATAACTATTGGAACAGAAGGAATGAGACGACTGTCAATATGAACTGTAACATTTATATAAGAGACTTGTTATTTTGAGAGAACAATGTACAACCACTCTACGACCCCGTTCTTAACACCTCGCTTTACTTTTCAAAAATCAGTTACATCTAAATTTCTTCACTGTTTATTCAATTCCTTGAATTACTTTACAATTTTTAACCGTTAAAACATCATCAACTTACACCAAAGAAATCCTAACACCCGCACACCCAACTTACTGAACATTTTCCCCAACCAATCGTTTCTAAATGTCTTTACAAATCTAGAGAGGTGTCAATTGTCTAACGACGTGCACGACTATCACTATGTGTCTCAAGGAAAAACTACTATTCCTAACGTGGACGACGGCGAAGAAATGCAACTGACAGATGTAAGTGGGTGCTGGAAAAAAAAACAATACCCCTTCGGACGCGAGTGTGTTATTGTAAAGTCGTAGAAAGTTGTTTTGTACCTACCACGTATTGTTCTTGAAAGTGTTACAACTGAGACGGATGTAACATGTTCGTCTACCTATCCCTTGTCTCTGTAGATTGTAAAGTCGAGTCGAGACGCGACTGAACTTGTCCTTTTTTTACCCTCTAGAAAAGTGTTTGTTGTCCAATAACGTGAACGACTACTACTTCGTATCCCAAGGAAAGACCTCAATTCCCGGTGTAGATGACAACGAAGAAATGAGATTGACCGATGTAAGTCTCTTCTAGCAGAGCACTAAGCATACCTACTTCGAACGAGCACTCCACTATCTCTTCTGTCTTTCTTTTATGTGTCCTAACTTTCATTTTCTAGTACTAAACCCCGGGAAGCGGCTATGCCTAGTATAAACATTCACCGTTGTGTGTTCTAGAGCTGTGTAGGTTGAGTCACAGAATCAGCGATTACCCTTACATTTGCCAAGGTAAAACCAGAATACCAGGCGTCAATGACTTCGCAGAGGGACTTGCCACCGACGTAAGCAGTTTCATTGAACGCCCTGTATTCAGGGAGCACCGATATGCTTGAAATTACAGACGAAGCAGCGGCAATTGGCTATACTAGGCATATCTGGCTCCCTGATGCTGCATGAACGCCGACAGTACGAAACGACGCCGACTGACAAAGTGACGACATTTTCTCACACTCGCCCTGAACCATTCAAAACCATTAAACACGTCACTTTTATGTAAATAGTTTTGAAATTACAGGAAAAAAAATGGTACTGTTATGCTGTATATTTTAGCTTAAAAGCAACCGACTGTACATATTCAAAATTTCATAACCTCTTCATCGATTTGTGTAGATAAATGCTTGCTCTCCGACAACGTCTACGACTATAATTATGTGTCCCAGGGCAAAATTCAGATTGCTGGAGTAGATGATAACGAGGAAATGACGTTAACGGATGTAAGTAAAAAAGTGTACCTAGATATAATTTGTATTGTTCTCATTTCAACACGATGTTTGTTAACGTCAAACCCTTACCGTCAATTTATGTCGTTACTTTAAACCAAGACCTGACCTCTTTGACGATTTAATGCTGATTCATTCCTTTCAAGCTTGTGTCTGTGTTCGACTAACCGAAAAGGGTAAGTTCACTCTTGCTGTATATACGATACATCCAAATGTAAATAGTGTGACATCACAAACACGCATATTAGACTCTTCATTCTCCGTCTCCCTGTAGGAAGCCTTCGACATCCTTGGTTTCACCCAAGAAGAGAAGGACAATGTCTACAGGGTTACCGCCGCCGTCATGCACATGGGTTGCATGAAGTTCAAACAGAGGGGTCGTGAAGAACAGGCTGAACCAGATGGTACCGAGGTGAGTTAAATCTACGTCGTATTTTCTCGTTGATGTATCGATAACGCGTGATTTATAGGAAGGTGACCGCGTCGGCAAACTCTTGGGAGTCGAACCAGCGCTTCTATATAACGCTCTAGTCAAGCCCAGGATCAAGGTCGGTAACGAATTCGTTACCCAAGGTCGTAACGTCGCCCAGGTCAACTACTCTGTCGGTGCCATGTCTAAGGCCATGTTCGACAGAACCTTCAAATACCTCGTCAAGAAGTGTAACGAGACTTTGGACACCAAGCAGAAGAGGCAGCACTTCATCGGTGTACTGGATATCGCCGGTTTTGAAATCTTCGACGTAAGTTGTGCAAAACACACCCTCACTTTCTTAAATGTATCAAATCTGTTCATGGTGGACCTCTCACTCTACAAATGCGTATATTTTTCTCCGTTAAATCTCAAAAAATCTGCTCCCTTGTGTTCATTGAATCAAATGGTCAGTTCAACGTTTCTGGAGTTTCGAGTCCCATGATTTGCTCATATGTTTTTATAGAAAAGAACTACAAATTCCATTTTTTTAACGTTAACTATCCGAAATGTTACCTCAGGAGAATTGCTCCCATTGTTTTGCATTATTTTTAACAATATAGAAATGTATGTTCAAGAGATTTTCCTTTGAGTGGTTTTAAACCAAAACATATTTGAATGGGCTAAGGGTCTTTTGAGATACATGGTGTTGAAGTTCGATGAAATTTGAACTGAATGGTCTCTGTCTTTAATAACCTTAACAGATTTATTACTGTGCCAGTTTAGATAAGTTTTTTCTTTAATTGGGTAAATTGTAAAGAAGTTGCAAGTACAACTTCCCGTATCTTGAAGACACTTAATTCATTAAAACTATTTGGTGCAAAATTGATTAAGAAACAATCTCCTGAACATAAACTTAGAAAACACCCTTGTTTATATTAATTATGCCAATTTTTGAAGAGAGAAAAAGAAGACTCATACACTACTTCTTTAAGAATGCAGGAAACTTTAATAATGCTTTAATCTAAAGGTACTCTAGAGAGATATTTCTTTTTCTCTTCTTCTTTATGGAAATCAATTTTCAGATGAGCCATATGAGTACAGTTTATAAAAATTTGTAATTTACGTTCTATTTAATTTGCAAAATACTATGCTTCTTGCGATATGAGCGCTGTTTATCAACATTTTATTCTACTTTCTATTTCATTTGCGAAACACTATATGCTTCTTCTAATACTGACCCCTCTTTTCCTCTGCGCTTCAGTATAACGGCTTTGAGCAGCTTTGCATTAACTTTACTAACGAGAAGCTGCAACAATTCTTCAACCACCACATGTTCGTGTTGGAACAAGAAGAGTACAGCCGAGAGGGCATAGTGTGGCAGTTCATAGATTTCGGCATGGACTTGGCCGCTTGTATCGAGCTTATCGAAAAGGTTTGCTATGCTTTTTAACCCCTAGACGTCGCCGAGACGAAGGTAAGGCTACTAACAGCACCCGCAAGGCTCGCGTCGCTACGACACAGTGTTAAAAGTGAGGCTAATACATGTAATTGTCCCCTGTTTAGTTCAACGGTTTCGAGCAACTTTGCATTAACTTTACCAATGAAAAATTGCAACAATTCTTTAACCACCACATGTTCGTACTCGAGCAAGAAGAATACAAAAGGGAAGGTATCGAGTGGACCTTCATCGATTTCGGAATGGACTTGGCCGCTTGTATCGAATTGATCGAAAAGGTAATTTTGTGTAGCAGGTCGCGGCAGGCAGAGCAGACCAGAGGTTTGGCGACAGCGCGTTTTGTTTTATGTGTACATAACCGAAAGACTTTTGGAATACAGACGGTCCAGGTCTTGCCCCACCCATTTTGAGTATTTGTAGAGTATAAACTTACCCCTTGTGCCCCCTACTTCTCTCGATTCCACCCAAAGAACAGGGATGCGAATCAATGCCTTTGTAGTTATTGTGTTTGTTTGTTTTTTGCATATTAGTTCAACAGCTTTGAACAGTTTTGCATCAACTTTACGAATGAAAAGTTGCAACAATTCTTTAACCACCACATGTTCGTTCTCGAACAAGAAGAATACAAAAGGGAAGGTATCGAATGGACCTTCATCGATTTCGGTATGGACTTAGCAGCCACTATCGAACTCATCGAAAAGGTACAGCATCGGTGACCGAGGACGCTTCCTACCCACCCGAACATCCCTTAAATGTCCCGAGCTTCGCTTATTAACGGTGCTAACACATTTTTAACAAATACCCTTACAGAACAGGGTAGATTGAGTTGGCTAACAGTGTTACTTACAGTACAACAGCTTCAATCAACTGTGCATAAACTACAGCAACGAAAAAATGCAGCAGTTTTACAACCACCACATGTTCATCCTGGAACAGGAGGAATATGAGAGAGAGGGTATTCCTTGGACTTTTATCGATTTTGCCATGGACTTACAGCCCTGTATTGACTTAATAGAAAAGGTACTTTTACCCCCATACTTATTATCGGAGCCCCCACAGCACATTTATTCAAGTGGTAGTATATGCACAGACACGAACAAATAAGTTTGCACCAAATCCTTAGCACTACACGAGGTATCGTATTAACGAGGAAAAACTTTCGACTTTATGCTCAGATGAAGCCAAAGTCGAAAAACTGCACGATCTTATGAGACGAGTAGCAATAAATTTCCAGTTGATCTTATCAGAACGTATTACCTGTTTGGTGTTCTACAGAAAACAAGTAGATATTTTTGTTGTCTCACAGATCAGTAGCAGTGCTTGTTCCCAAGCTCCCACAATACCTCTTTGTAATATATTCTCTATTCCCACTAGCCTATGGGTATCTTGTCCATCCTTGAAGAAGAATCTATGTTCCCCAAAGCCACCGACAAGACCTTTGAGGAGAAACTGAACACCAACCACTTGGGCAAATCACCCAACTTCCAGAAACCTAAACCACCAAAGCCCGGTCAGCAAGCTGCCCACTTCACCTTGGGCCATTATGCCGGTAATGTAAGTATAACTTCGATTCGTATTTCCAGCGGTTCGGTAATTCTGTACTCTGGCCTAGGTACCCTATAACATCACCGGTTGGTTAGAAAAGAACAAGGATCCCCTTAACGACACCGTTGTCGACTTGTTCAAGAAGGGCAGCAACGCCTTGATAGTAGACATCTTCGCCGATCACCCCGGACAATCCGGTGGTGCTGCTGAAAAGGGTAAATATGTAGTTTACTATAACATATCACCACTTAATCCACGTTTCAGCAAATATATTCTTCTGCGATTGTTAAAAGACAAAAAAAATTAGACTGCAGTGGTAAAAGAATATTTTTGAGTTCGTATTTAAAACGAAACAAAATTAACTTTCAACACTTCTTTTATAGATGATTATGTCACATTTCCCTCCCCTGAAAGTGATTTTACTTTTCTTCCGTTCCTTTACAAATTTTTGATATATTTTTGATAATTTAGGTGCAAAGAGAACCAAGGGTTCTGCTTTCCAGACTGTATCCAGTTTATACAGGGTAATTACATTTCTGCTCTAAAACAAGACGCTGAGCTGAAGTATTTACCTTAACACCCTCCTTCCTTTCTTACCCCAAAACACATCCCCTTTGTATTGTCTCGCAAAATGCTTTAACTGTTATGCTTGTGATTAGGAGGTCGTAAGAAGGGTGGTGGTTTCGCTACTGTCTCGTCCTCTTACAAGGTACGTGGTAGAAAAAAAAAATCACGTTATTTAGTTTCAATATCACCAAACACCCGACAGGTTTTATCTTGTGGAACTGGTACCAACCGATACACTTTGTACCAAAAATTAATCCAAATTTTAGTCTCGTAACTAAATCACTTCAAATATAAAGTTTCCAAGACCTTGGACACTACCGTACACCCAGTATGGTTCATCATATATGTTTTAACCAGAAGAACACCCGTACAGGTTTTTCTTTATAGCGACTGGTACAACAGTACACCTCATGTACCAAAGTCATCAACAAATTCTTCGAATTCATATTTTGAACTAGCCAAAAAAGCGGTGATTATGTTCATTTTTATTCATACTTTAACCACCAGAAACTTCAAACAAATACACGACGGGTACTTCTCGTGTAGAAATTTGATAACAATTAACGAGTGAAGCCTAACCTACTAAAGTCGTGCTTTCACCAGCTTAATGCTACTAAAACATTAAAACACTAACCATTCATCAAGCTACGTACTGTTTACTGATGAACTCCTGTCTGTACTCCTATAGGAACAATTGAACAACTTGATGACCACCTTGAGGTCCACCCAACCTCACTTCGTCCGTTGTATCATTCCCAATGAATTGAAACAACCCGGAATGATCGACTCCCACTTGGTAATGCACCAGCTGACATGTAACGGTGTACTTGAAGGTATCCGTATCTGTCGTAAAGGTTTCCCCAACAGGATGGTGTACCCAGACTTCAAACTCCGGTAAGAACCGAATCCACACAAACCTACCACTTCTAAATTGGTCATCAACACAGACAGGCGTATTTGAAGTGATAGGTTTAATCCAATTGTAAATGCTGTATGAAAGTAAGAGTGGTGACACTGTTTCATATATTTTTTTATCACTTAGCTACATGATCCTAGCTCCAGCTACAATGGCCAAAGAGAAAGATCCCAAGGAAGCTTGCAGAAAATGTCTCGAAGAAGTTGGCTTAGATGCCGACAGCTATCGAGTTGGACATACAAAGGCAAGGGGTTTTATTTTTAAAACCTACACCCCTGTGCCTCGTCTGCGAAAATTGTATCTAGTTTTAATGTTTAGTGAAGGTCTTGCATGTTCTTTTGTAGCTACCCCAGGTATCGTCGAGAGAATGATTGTTAGAAAACGTAGTAGTAGTTAGTACGATGTCCATGTGATGATTTTTTACCTTTAGTTACAAGATTTTGGATCCTGCTGGTGCTAGTAAGGCGTCTGACCCCAAGAAATGCGCCGAAATTATCTTGAACGCCACTGGTCTTGACAGTGAACTGTACCGTCTTGGTCACACTAAGGCATGTCCCTTTAGATTATTGTTTTGTTTCCTTTGCCCCTCTTAAACGTTGTTTCAAGACAAACAATGGTTCTGTACACCTTTTACCTTTGTCTCTGGACGGACAATGGTTGTTACCTTTGTAAGCCTTTTTACTGTTGTCTTTGGACGGACAATAGGTTTTGTGTAATACCGAAAGGGTCATGAAAGACTTGTGTGACTTTTAACTGTGTTATTATGTACATATTAAAACCCTTTTCCTTACTTTTAATTTGTTTTCTGTCCTTGCACAATCAGATACAAAATTCTGGCTGCAGCTCAAATAAAGGACAGCTACACACCAGAGAAAGCTGCACAAATTATTTTGGATATTGTCGCGCTAGATGCAGAACAATATAGATTGGGTAAAACCAAGGTACAATAAAATATACTTCACTATATTGTACTCTTAATGCTTACGATTAACATTTGGCGAATTCCACTTGTCAACTAGACAAGTGTATACGAGTTTTCACAGAAATGTGCTAACCGCTCAGCAATAACATGCGCATTGCTTCTCAGCCCTTTGTGGTACTGGTGAGAACAGCTTCTAAGGAATCGGTCAACGCCTAGAAGCTAGCTGTCCTCACTCAAGTCTCCACAAGGGCTTCCGCTAACAGAGATGTCACCGTATAGGTATTCTTCCGTGCCGGTGTCCTGGGTCAGATGGAGGAACTTCGTGACGAACGTCTTGGCAAGATCGTCACCTGGATGCAATCCTGGGTGCGCGGTTACCTCTCGAGAAAGGAATTCAAGAAGTTACAGGAACAACGCTTGGCCCTCCAAGTGTGCCAGAGAAACTTGCGCAAATACCTCAAGCTTCGTACCTGGCCATGGTACAAACTGTGGCAGAAAGTCAGGCCACTCCTCAACGTCACCCGAATCGAGGATGAGATCGCGGTGAGTATTTTATCTCTGCGCGGGTTCTGATGTGGGCTCGTCTAATAAAATCGTTCGAGGAACGGGGGATACATGGAACAATCCTTCTGCGCGCAACTTTCGAGCGGGTTAACCGATTAGGACACATAGAACCAACTTTTAACCGTCGAAATGTTATGGAAAATGGTCACAAAATTAAGGATTAAATGTAGAATCTCAATCATTTTCATCTCAATCTCATTTCGTCATATATTTTCCAAAAAAAACAACTTTATGACCTTACTTAGTTGAGATTAGGTCTTTATGGTCATATATTGCCATGCAAAATTTCACTTTACATAAAAATTATACTCTGTTGGTTGTCGCAAAAGAATAAGAATTAACCGATTTAGATCAAGTTAGTAAAATTTTACTAGCTTGAGAAGTTATCTGCCTTCAGAATTTCTGTATTTCAACTTAACACTTACTAACATAACTTTTTAAGGAAACTTGATATAAAGTAACTTGATCTAAATCGAATAATTTTCATCCAAGAAATATGGACCCATGTTTACGAATATTCTTTGTATTACGGCTTTTTTACGTAAAATGAAATGTTACATTAAACACAGTAAAAAATCTAACCTCAAAAAAGTTATGCATAAAATGTTAATAGGACAGATCGTAGCTAGCGACCTCTAGATGGTCATTACATTGTTTTTTTGGAAAAGATGACTAAAATTTTAAGGAATTGTCTTTAAAGCACTGTACTTTAGAAACAAAATATCATAGGAAAAAATATTTTCGAGTTTTGGTGTTCCATCAATCCCTGCATTTATGGTACTTTTTATCGGTCGCAACTCGGCAGCTTTCGTAACAGCCGAAAGGGGGCCCAAAGTTTATGAAATTTCGGACTCGATCTCAATCCTAAAGACCTCCTAAATCTTATAAAACACTCTTTTACTAACAGTTTGTTGATTAAAATCCGTTCGTATAACTCCTCTGGCTCTATAAAGAACTTAGTTACGGTTTAAATTCACGTGAACAGTTTGCGGTCCACTGATTTGCTCAATAACTTGCGGTTTTTTCGAGTAAACGCCATCGCGTCGAGTCCTTATTAGAACATTTCCAGAAAAATGGACGGCTAAAAATAAAACCCGCACGACAGCGTCACCTTTTGATATGTTGGAATCACGCGGTGCACACACCTGGGTGCACATTTTTCGCTCGCGATGCAACGCACATACATTTTTTCGCAACATTTCCAAAAATCCCGAATGTTTTTGTCTGCGGTTGACTTCGTCTTCGGTTTCCGTTAATGGGTGAGAACGCAAAAATAAAACTGAATCATTAACGCGACTGTTTACAGTTGCGTCTCGCCCGAATGGCTCTCCGCATAAAGTCCGACACCCGTTGTCGAAATGGTTGTTGTAATCGACGCGAGTGTTTATAAGACGGTAAACACGGATTTTTATAGCTTAACATAAAATTACCTGTCCTATATTAATCTAAATATATAACCTCCCTCCTATAAATCTGTCATCGAGTTATGAGGCATCGCATACTTTTCTAATCTTTCATCGAACCCTCCCATCCGACCTACGCACGTCTCTACATCCTCTCCACCAGTAAGTCCACGCTTTAGTCTTAGTCGAGACATAGTGCGGTGCATCCGAGAACGATCCTAGGTCTTCTAGGTACTGTTGGAAACCTCTTACAGTATCTTCGAGATATACGACCGATCCGAACGAAATCCTTTCAACAAATCGAAACAGTTATAACAATACACGACAAAATGGTCGACATTGATTACACATGTCCTAACAAGAAGGAAATTTTGCAGAAACTGGAAGAGAAGGCGGCCAAGGCCCAGGAAGCCTACGAGCGCGAGGAAAAAGCCAAGAAGGAACTAGAAGCCTTGTACGCCAAGCTCTTGGCCGAAAAGACTGAGCTCTTAGCCACCTTGGAAGGAGAAAAGGGTAACCTTTCCGAAACCCAAGAGAGGGCCGGCAAGCTCCAGGCCCAGAAGAACGACCTCGAGTCTCAACTATCCGTAAGTACAACTTTTCTTTCAATAAATTAGACTTAAATTCCATTAACTGACGGAGATTTATTCTAACGAGGCACTCCAATTAGCGGGAGTGTCATTAACGCGAAACAGAAACCGGCATTAAATTTATTTTTGGAGCGTCATAAATCAGCCTTCGCGCGGCGTATTTTTACAGTTGTGCATGTTTTGCCGAATATTTCCACGAATCTGTTTTTATATTTAGAAAAATTTAAATCCTCCAGTTTATGATGTAAACTGTTTTGATACCTGCACTCGAAATCTTTTTATAAGCGGGATATTTTTACCCGAACCGTCGTTTATCGCACCGATCGCTCTTGGAAAAGTATCAATGCTTTCTTTCACGACTTGTTTTTTATCCGGCCTTATTTTAATATCACTTGGCCCGCTCTCAACTTAATAACTAGGTGAGATAATTTCAGCATTACGAAAAAAACACTTTATTGGATACGGTCCAATAAACAGGTGCAATGCCGTGCATAATTTGATGAAATCGATTAGTATCGGCGGATCTACTCGCGCACGTCGACTATATTTAGCTGTTTACTCATTTAAACTTCTATATTTAAGCAGACTAAACATTCTCGAAATTCCCGCAGGAAACTCAAGACCGCCTCAGCCAGGAGGAAGACGCCCGCAACCAACTCCAGCAACAAAAGAAAAAGTTGGAGCAGGAGGTATCCGGCTACAAGAAGGACATCGAAGACTTGGAACTCAGCCTTCAGAAGTCCGAGCAGGACAAAGCCACCAAGGACCATCAAATCAGGAACTTGAACGATGAGATCGCCCACCAGGACGAGCTCATCAACAAGCTCAACAAAGAAAAGAAACTCTCCGGCGAGAACAGCCAGAAGATCGGCGAAGAACTCCAGGCGGCCGAAGACAAAGTCAACCACTTGAACAAGGTGAAGGCCAAGCTCGAACAAACCCTCGACGAATTGGAAGACTCCCTGGAACGCGAGAAGAAACTCCGCGGCGACGTGGAGAAATCCAAACGCAAGGTAGAAGGCGACTTGAAACTCACCCAGGAAGCCGTCGCTGACTTGGAACGCAACAAGAAGGAACTCGAACAGACCATCCAACGCAAAGACAAGGAAATCTCATCTCTCACCGCCAAACTCGAAGACGAACAATCCGTGGTTAGCAAGCAACAGAAACAGGTCAAGGAACTCCAGGCCCGCATCGAAGAACTCGAGGAGGAAGTCGAAGCGGAACGTCAAGCCCGCGCCAAGGCTGAGAAGCAGCGCGCTGACTTGGCCCGCGAGTTGGAGGAGCTCGGTGAACGTCTTGAGGAAGCTGGAGGCGCTACCTCTGCTCAGATCGAGCTCAACAAGAAGCGTGAAGCTGAACTTGCCAAGCTCCGTCGCGATCTCGAGGAAGCCAACATCCAACACGAAGGTACCCTCGCCAATCTCCGCAAGAAGCACAACGATGCCGTCTCCGAGATGGGCGAACAAATCGACCAACTCAACAAACTCAAGGCCAAGTAAGTTAAAACGCCGCTTCAAACATCTTTTTCTTCCTAGAAAAAAAATATTTACACGTGTTTCCCATTGAAATTATTTATAGCGGCTTTCTCATGATTTAAAAATAATATTTCGCTTGTTCCGAAAGACATTTTCCTAAAAATAACGGGATTACCTAAAATTCGCCAGTGAATCACAAATAAACGTATTTTCGTAACATATGGTTGTTTATGAATCACCGTTACACAAACGAATCCACAGAAATACTTTAAAATATAATCAAATTTAGACAGACCACGCCTATATACATGTATTAATAACATTTTCATCTAATGTAGGGCTGAAAGGGACCGTGCCAGCATTTACTCTGAACTTCAACAAACTCGTGCTGCCGTAGAGAATGTCGGTCGTGATAAGGTACAAAGGTCTTTCAAGACCCCTGTACTGTACTGTCGTTGTCCCTCCACCTGCACTTAACCCATGACTGTCTTTGCGTTTGTGTAATATAATTAAATTTATTCCACAGGGCTGAAAAGGAAAAGGCTCAATACTTTGGTGAACTCAATGACCTCCGCGCATCTGTCGACCACTTGGCTAACGAAAAGGTACTAGGGAAACCGCAGAGTGGATAATTTGCCTTATTTTTTTATTTTAGCTAGCTTAGTATAGCTCTCAGGACCACTTACCACTTAGATGCAGTCTACTACTACAGTATTTGCTTCATTAATGCGTTCATATTTTATTCAATCGCTAATATCCTTCTCTTTTAACCCCAGTAAGTCTTGTGGCTTTATGTGTCGTCCACCTATAACAAAATTGGATTATTAATCGATTTTTTTTTGCTAGGCTGCAATTGAAAAGGTATCTAAGCAATTGGGACAACAACTCAACGACGTCCAAGGCAAACTCGACGAAACCAACCGCACTCTTAACGACTTCGACGCCGCTAAGAAGAAGTTGGCCATCGAGAACTCTGACCTCCTTAGACAACTCGAAGAAGCTGAATCCCAGGTATCCCAACTCAGCAAGATCAAGGTATCCCTTACCACCCAATTGGAAGACACCAAGAGATTGGCCGATGAAGAAGGCCGCGAACGCGCCACCCTTCTCGGCAAGTTCCGCAACTTGGAACACGACTTGGACAACATCCGCGAACAGGTCGAAGAGGAAGCTGAAGCCAAGGCCGACATCCAACGTCAGCTCAGCAAAGCTAACGCCGAAGCTCAACTCTGGCGCCAGAAATACGAATCTGAAGGTATCGCCCGCTCTGAAGAACTCGAGGAAGCCAAGAGGAAACTCCAGGCTCGTCTCGCTGAGGCTGAGGAAACCATCGAGTCCCTCAACCAGAAGGTTGTAGCCCTCGAGAAGACCAAACAACGATTGGCCACCGAAGTGGAAGACTTGCAACTCGAAGTCGACCGTGCCAACGCCATCGCCAACGCCGCCGAGAAGAAACAGAAGGCCTTCGACAAGATCATTGGAGAATGGAAACTCAAGGTAGACGATCTCGCCGCTGAACTCGACGCCAGCCAAAAGGAATGCAGAAACTACTCCACCGAACTGTTCAGACTCAAGGGAGCCTACGAAGAAGGACAGGAACAACTCGAAGCCGTCCGCCGCGAGAACAAGAACCTCGCCGATGAAGTCAAGGACCTCCTCGACCAAATCGGTGAAGGCGGCCGCAACATCCACGAAATCGAAAAGGCCAGGAAACGCTTGGAAGCCGAAAAGGACGAACTCCAAGCCGCCCTTGAAGAAGCCGAAGCCGCTCTTGAACAAGAAGAGAACAAGGTACTCCGCGCTCAACTTGAACTTTCTCAAGTCCGCCAAGAAATCGACAGGCGCATCCAAGAGAAGGAGGAAGAATTCGAAAACACCCGCAAGAACCACCAACGCGCTCTCGACTCCATGCAAGCCTCCCTCGAAGCCGAAGCCAAGGGTAAGGCTGAGGCCCTTCGCATGAAGAAGAAGTTGGAAGCTGACATCAACGAACTCGAAATCGCTTTGGACCACGCTAACAAGGTAATATAATCGTTTCCCATAAACAACCACGTACTGATATACGTTTTTTTTTTTTTCAGGCTAACGCTGAAGCCCAAAAGACCATCAAACGCTACCAACAACAGCTCAAGGACACACAAACCGCCCTCGAGGAAGAACAACGCGCCCGTGACGAGGCCCGCGAACAACTCGGAATCTCCGAACGTCGCGCCAACGCCCTCCAGAACGAACTTGAAGAATCCCGCACCCTCTTGGAACAAGCTGACCGTGCTCGCCGCCAAGCCGAACAAGAACTTGGTGATGCTCACGAACAACTGAACGACTTGGGTGCCCAGAACGCCTCCTTGTCCGCGGCCAAGAGGAAACTGGAAACCGAACTCCAGACTCTCCATTCCGACCTCGACGAACTCCTCAACGAAGCCAAGAACTCCGAAGAAAAGGCCAAGAAGGCCATGGTCGACGCTGCCCGTCTCGCCGACGAGCTCCGCGCCGAACAAGACCACGCCCAGACCCAGGAGAAACTCCGCAAGGCCCTCGAAGCCCAAATCAAGGACCTCCAAGTCCGCTTGGACGAAGCCGAAGCCAACGCCCTCAAGGGAGGCAAGAAGGCTATCGCCAAGCTCGAGCAACGCGTCAGGGAGCTTGAGAACGAATTGGACGGTGAACAGAGGAGACACGCCGACGCCCAGAAGAACTTGAGGAAATCCGAGCGCCGCATCAAGGAGCTCAGCTTCCAGGCCGAAGAGGACCGCAAGAACCACGAACGCATGCAGGACCTCGTAGACAAACTCCAACAGAAGATCAAGACTTACAAGAGGCAGATCGAGGAAGCCGAAGAAATCGCCGCCCTCAACTTGGCCAAATTCCGCAAGGCACAACAGGAACTCGAGGAAGCAGAAGAACGCGCGGACCTCGCAGAACAGGCCATCGCTAAATTCCGCGCGAAGGGACGTTCCGGATCAACGGCCAGAGGAGCCAGCCCTGCACCAGTAAGTAGCCCCTTTACACACTCCCTACAGATACACTTTGAAAACAATCGTTAAGAAACTGAGGCAATTTAATTTAATACGTCTATTCTCTAATATATTGCACCTTTAAAAAGAAGTACTAAAACCTGTTTTACATTTAACTATTTTTGGCCAAGAAAGACAATTCTCTATATTTGTGGCACCTTCTTATACATTATATTAACAGCAAATCATAATAGTAAAATGTTGGTTTAATACATTTGGATGGAAACCAAAACATTGCAAAAACAATTGTCAGAATTGTAGAATGACAATAGAACCAGTTCTATTGTCTCCGATTTTTTGGCTAATTTATTGAAACTGAGGTACAAACCTAAATGTAAAATAGGTTTCACCTAACCACAACTACACACTAGCCCCCAACATATTCTTGATATTTTCTATCTTTTCAAGCCGAAACAGGCACCACGTTTGGCAGTTCAATTGGAGTAACTCTATATAGCTTTGTAAGTCATGGGTTTTTCGATGTTCCCGTGATAGTCCCCTGTTCAGTTCACAGTTTCTACAGAAAGAACCATTTCAATCTCTGGAGCTGTACTGTATTTTTATTATTTGCCGTATATATTTGGACGATATAACGGAAATTTTATGTACACCAGTAGATTACAGACCTAGAAATCTGCTTTATAAGTTCGCGTAATGAAAAAAAATATGATACGAGAATAAAGCGAATTTCTAGGTCTCTTTCCCCTAGTAGTTTCAGTGAAAGACCATGAAATCTGAAACTAAAGTCAGACCTCTGTCTGATCTCGCTCCTCACTGTTTTGTCACTTGTACGGAGAAATCTAGAATGGTTGAATCGACATCTACAAATATTTTGTGCCATTCAGTTTAATTGCAACGTTATCAGCAACGATTTATCTACCTGAGCTATTCTGAATGGTTTAAGATAATAAAACACACCTATTGTCAAAATATGAAAAAAAGCGTGCGTAAAATTCAAAGGTTTGTCAGTAGAAGGTAATTTTGAGTAGATGGAAATTAGTTTCGATGACGTTTAGGTGCGATGTCGCTTTCACTTATTCTGGATACTCCCGGTCTTATATCCGTAGTGTTTCGAGGAGTCTAACGTGTGTTTTCGCTTTGCAGAGACAGCGCCCCACATTTGGAATGGGAGACGCCCTTGGAGGACCTTTCCCTCCCAGGTTCGACCTAGCCCCTGAATTGGAGTAAACCTAGCGCTGTGTTATGATAACTCAATACGAACATTTACGCGTGGAGTTACCACCTAGTCCGCGCGCTTAATTTTACTCACATTTATTTTAATTATTTTTTATTTTCGTTCTTCTTTTTTTTTTTGTTGAACATTAGGAAAGTATGATTCCGCTGTCAAATTACGTAAAAATGTGCGAGAAGTAGGAGAAGAAAGGGATATTCAGAGACACGTATTTACCACCTACAGCCCTTTGGTCTCTTGGTTCTCACAAAGCCAACTTTGTATTTTTTAAAAACTGATAGGTTCTAAATTATCGTATGTGTGACATGTTGTATGATATAAGGCACCAATAAACAAAAAGTTATATCGTTATCGTATTTATTTTATGAGTGTTATTTTACAATTATTATCCTTCCATTATCATTCTTTACACTCTCTGTATTTATTTTGTTGTTTATTGTTATAATTTTATTGTAAAATAAATAGATTATATTAATTTAATAATATGAATTTCATTCCAGAAACCTTTCAAAACAAGCGCGAGAGAATTATAAACATCCCAGTTCTAATTTCGACACCCCTTTCACAATTTTTAAACAAACAAATTTTCATCGTGTTCTTTGTATAGGATGAAATGTTGTAGAAACAATAAATAAAGATATTTCCAGACATATGCACTGTTTGAACTTTATTTAAGATTACACGAAAATGATTAAGCACCAAAATGTTTTCTAAAATAGACATACAGATATGAACTTAGTGCTTCCTTAAACAAAATCACAACAACAAAAGGGCAGAATTAGAATAAGAACCAGTAAACTAGAAAAATTAAACTTTAATTGTAAATAAAATCAACTCCTCCATTTCTTTCAATAAAATATAGTAACATCAAACAATTTCCCATCCAACTACTAGTGAATTCATAGAAAAACCCGTGTTTTTCATTCCAGTTTGTTCCCTTTACCAACTGGTTTGGGAGGAGACCTTTTCGGTTCGACCTTGGCCAGCTGTCTGTATTGCCCTTTCGTCGTCTCCAGTTGCGTGGATAGAATCCACTCGGTCCCGAACTGTTTACAAGTCTCCAAAAACACCGGATATAAATAGTCGAGTAGGCCGTGGTCCACCGTGGGAAACAAATGATGCAGGGCGTGGTCTCCAAAATTGGTAAGCACGAGAAAATGGGAACCAGTTATATCTTTCCTGTCCATAACTGCGTCTAACTGGAATATACCCCAGTCTTGTTCCTCTTTAGGCCTAAAAAAGAAAGTCAAACAGAAATCTTCTCGGTGTTGAGTATATCTCTCTAAATTTCAACAAGACCGAAACGTTTTTTTTTACCTTGCTTTGTCGCCGTCGTGGAACCTATCAGGATGGTGATGACCCGCATTTATTCCTACTAATCCGAAATGTAGACCACCGACTGTGATGATCCAGAAAAACATGGTGCCACAAAATGCTGCCGACTCTCCTGTTACCAGCAACATTAGGACGGGCACAGTTAAAGGTAAAATTATTGGCCATGTGAATTCCTGTCCTACAAACACCATTTGTAACAAACTGAAAATTGTTCACGATAAATAATTAGTAATAATTGGTTCACTAATAAAAAACACACCGTATATGTCCAGGGATATTCACATAACATTTTATCACCCTTATATTTTTTGACATTCTATCTTGAAAAAAATGATTATCTTTCTATATTTTGGTCATGAATGATCAAGCATGTCGTTACGAAACTATTGGTCGATGGAACGGACAGAATGGCGCAATCTCCGTACTTCACGACATATAATTGTTTTCATTTCGTGCGTATCATTAGCGGTTTAATTTCGTTGCTGTTGTACGTCGTTTAGGATTAATTTAAGGTGCCTAGCACTCAGTCCTTGGCCAAACGACCCTATAAAGAAACCTCACTGGTGTAGAATGTCATGCGAACAATATCAAATATCGTCTTTCCAATTTAGCCACTTACGTTTTCGTAAAACTGGCTGGGAAGAGCAGGGCAAAAATGACAGGCGAGTAGACCCAGGACAAATATCGTACGACGAAATTTTTTTTCGTGGGCAAGTATCGTAGAAATGGCTCCGCGAAGGAGATCTCCAAGTCGTTCACGGTGTTTGTATACAGGTGGTGACTCAGGGCGTGACTTATCCGCCAGTCCCTAAAAATAAGCGGACGGTTATTTTCGAACGGGGTGGAACAAATAACGTTTTTAAATAAACCCAGACGGAAATAAACATCGTGATCTGGTTACCAGGAATGCGAAATGAAGGATGCGTTTGCTTTTCTACAGGTAGATGCCAACGTGTGACACTGTCACTGAATAGCCAATAGAGTAAGCGATAGACGAGAACAATGCTGTTTTGAATGTCACGTCATTGAGCTAAAGGGATGCAGTAACAAAAAAACGCGTAGAAAAGTTTTTTCTAAGTCCACTACCGTTCACGGTGCTCCTGAGCGAATTTAAATGAAATTTCGAGTCACTCCAAAATAATAAGATATTCTGTTTCTACAATACTTGAACATCATTTTAAGCCCTGAACCAAAATATTTGGTGTGGCGCTTTTTTTCCGATTGCAAAATAAGAACTATTAAGCCAATATATATATATTAAATGTTTTATTCTTTTATATACACAAAATAAAAAGTAGATTTATTATAATGATACAAACATAATTTATAGCAAAACTAATAATTCAATCGTATAGAATTACAATCAATTTTCAATCAATCAGTTGAATAAATGATTCAGTGTATTTTTACACGCAACTAATAGATGACACGGTTATACATGAGAGGCATTGTAATCGTATAAAACACGTATAATAATTTCATAGAATATTCAGGGTGAATGTTTGATGCTTTGTATCGATTCCATATTTTTGAAAAATCTGAATGTGCGGATACTGTAGCTTGTTCGGTGTAATAAGTTAATCCTCTGTTTTTCCTAACAAAAATCTTTAACATGGAAAAAATTAAGTACACATTATTCGAACATATGATAAAAGAGAATGAAGAATTAAGTCTACAATGGGCAAATATATGCAACGTTCAGCGCCAGTGTACTTATGGAAGCCCAACATTTGCAGGAAATGGTTGCAAAACATTGCTTAAAAATGTTGACATTTCGGCCAATTTCAAGTATTTAAATTGTGCTAAGTTTGTTGATTGTTTCAGAAAGTTGAATAAAGTTGTTCAACTGATTGATTGAAAACTGATTGTAATTCTATACGATTGAATTATTAATTTTGCGATAAATTATGATTGTACCATTATAATAAATCTACTTTTTATTTTGTGTATATAAAAGAATAAAACATTTAATATATATACTGGCTTAATAGTTTTCACTTTGTTAAAATAACTTACAACTTTCTTTTTGATTTTTGAAGTAAAATTTTTATAGTTACTTATATGAAAAATATCAAATTTCTTATTTTGCAATCGGAAAAAAAGTATTGTAGAAACAGAATATCTTATTATTTTGAATCACTCGAAAACCGTCTTTCGTCGATATAAAGAACGTACCGAAAAAGGTTCTGATCAACAGTTTCTACATTTACTACAGTTTGAGCTATAAAATTAAATCTGTTCTTACTCCAAATTCTGAATTTTGTAGTCATGATACCCATTGGTCTTTAAAATTCCTTAAACGGCTGATTTATCCAAATTCAATTCCCGGCTAGCTTGCCGCCGTATAGAATTTCGTGGATTTTGTTCGAAATACTGTAACAGTCTATAGTACGATCGTAGTCGATGCAAAGTAATAAATCATTGCCTGTCAAGGGAATCAGTGCAACACATTTTATAGGGGGTTTTGGAAATTGAATAATTTCTTTATGCATTATGGATTAACAGTTATATATTTATGAAGGACAAAATGAAAAACAAAGGCATCTCCTTCGCACATTGGGCGGCAGGACAACAATACATTTATTACTCCCTTTATTATCCCTCACATGACTTGTGTCTTGTGTTTTTTGCGGCGGCGCGCGTACCGGCCTGGCGTGGTCAGTTTCGTTTCGGTTGTATTGGTGCTGCGTGTTTCTCGCTCGCGATATTTGTGAGGTTATAACTGTTATAAGTGCAATTATATTTCTTTCGGGCTATATGTGTGTTTCGCGCTATTATTTGAGAATTTGTGAGTGAAATCATATTTCTTGTGCTCCGTAACAAAAGTGTTTTTAGTGTTTTATTTGTGTGCTGTGTGTGTGTTTCGGGCTGTTGTTTGTGAATCGTAAATGCTATTATATTTTCTGTGCTAGTGAAGTGAAGTTTTTTGTATTATTATTGCTCTGTTGTCGTTATATGGATAAATGGAGGCGGTGCCTGGATGTTCGCGAGCCGGATGTACTGCTGTGGGTACAAAAAATCTATATTAAGTTACAGAGAAAAAACGATAATATTAAATGTCTATAACCCTTTAGAAAAGGATCATCCCATGAAACTGAAGACTGGTTTGGTGGAAATGTGTTCTAGATATACTGGAGTAAGCGAATTATCTGTTTTCAAAATTTTAAGAGAGAAGAAAATTGAAGGAGACGTTAAGAAACCTAAAAAAGGGGGTGCAAAGAAGAAATTAATATTAAATGAAGATGAGAAAAATGGAGTTTGGCGTACAGTACATAAATCATAGAATTTATATTTTGTTTATAATTTGTTAACATTTCTTGTTCGATAGAAAAATAACTTATTTTGTTGAGATTGGTAGAGAATTGTTGTTAGTGTTTTCATTTGATAGAATCATATCAAAGGATTTATATTTTGTTTTCATTCTGTAAATATTTATAGTATATCTGTTATACAAGGTTTTTGCTTTGAAACTTCGTTCTCCTTATAAAAAAAAGAATCGTAATGGGGTGCGATGAAGAGATCAGTTCACGTCTGGAACCCTGTTCCTACAAAAATCCCTTTATTCTCATAAACTATTTGTTTTAAATGTAATTTATTATAAATCCAATTCGTTATTTAAATTCCACATATGTACTACATTTCACCTCTGTACGCGCCACTGTTTATTGTTCCCTGCTCTACGATCAAGCTCGCCAGGTTAGTATTTGACATATAACCGACCACTTCGTATACTCGATGCACCTGGCCGACTACAGCTAGTACCAGAACACAGTGCGTATGCGGCGGTATTTCAGATTTTACATTCAATTTCATTTTAAATTTGAAACGGTTCATCTTACGCCTCCTAAAAATGATGACACGATTTTCCTTTGATAAAAGACCGACAATTTTTTGCTCTACTTTGCATCGTATACGATCGTACTATAGCTGTATTAACATTGTTTCTTACCCTTCGCTCAATTATTTGATTTTTCCGAACACAAAATGCGTCTTCATTTCGTCGCAAGGTCGCCTCCAATTAAGATCTATGATCAGGAATGGGGCGCTCTGGATACATTTCTCGATATAACTCTACAGCTTTTCTTGAATTTTTTTGTGACTCGCCGTAAATTAGCAACATATCAACTTTTTCAGAATGAGAAAACATTTTGTAAGCACAAAAGTTAAACGTTTGACGTTCGTATATTACTCAATACAAGTATTTTGTGACATTTATGCATTTATTTTCCATCGACTACTCGATTCTTCCACCGTTAATGTGATTTTTAGGTGGTATTTCTTTTGAGACTCTTTAGGACGATATTGCTTGTAACTTTTAAACGGGAGGTATTACAGAAAAATTTCTGTAATAAAAGTTAAAATTAGAAAGAAGAGAGTTTTTAACAGGAAAAAAATTTGGGAATGTTTCTGGAAAAAATATAATTATTGATGACGTTATTAGTCGTTTCTGTCAAATCCCATACCTTTTCGATTGAAAATGGAGCTTACCTCATTTAATTTAACAGCACGTGTATTTTTTTTATCGGTGTAATAAGTAGCGTTTCAGTAACTACTGTCAATACGATTTCCATCTGTTGGCCACCTTTTCATGCAATCTATTAACCTAAACCAACTTACCTGGACAGCATCATGGTAAAGTCAAAATAATACATCCTAAAGCTGTCCTTTTGGTGAAAAAAGTTATGAGCCGCTATAGCGGCCATACTAAGCATCAACCCAGCCACTGTCCCTACCAAAAGACTTTTCAAGTACACCGACAACAAGGCCGATACGATGTAAGAAGCAAACAAACAGTCTGTGATATACTTAGATCTATGTACTGGATTTTTCGGTAAAGTAGACAACTTCTCGTAGACGTTCTTCTTGAGGGTCCTGTAGAAACCGTCTTCTTCGAAGGTGAATGGTGAGTTTCTAGGTTGCCTTGCCTTGGCCACGAAGAACCTTGCCAGCATTTTTTGTGGGGCGGGGGAGACGTGATGGGATTCGAAGGCCTCTGTGATGTCTGTTCCCTGAAGGAATACGACATAAAATATAAATAAATCTTTTCCCGTATGTTTTAGAATTGGAAGAAGGATTTTCAGTTTGTTGTTACAATTTACTTTTATCAAAATCGTAGTTCAACTTTGTTTAAATATTTTTGGCCTTGTAATGGACTACGCCTAGTCGCCTACAGCTAAATGGTTAGTTAATTTGGTAAAACGGAAAATAATTATATAACATATGACGCATGTTAATGTGGTTTTGTATTTTTCCCAAATTGTTTGTGCCATGGTCATGTTATAAAACGTCACACAGGACGCATGATTAATAAAATTGTATAAACATTCTCAAGATGAAAATAATGAGTTACATTGTACAGGATGTCTCACTTAACTTTCCCACCCAACTTATCTCGATTAGTTTTGCAAATATAAAAAAAAATTTTGTTAAAGTGAAAGTTGTAGGTTTTTTTTATTAAGTTAACTTTATCAATATTAAGTTGTATCTGAAACATCGATATTTAAATTTGAATTGTTTTTTTGCTACAAACAGATGTTTCATAAAAAACACTACGACTTTTATTTCAACAAAATTTTTATATCTGCAAAACTATATATCTCGCTCTTTCAGGATGCAGGCACAAAAATTGTATTACCATAAAAAACAACGGTTGACCTTCAAATAACCTTGAACATCACTTTAAAATTTTGAGACAAACCTTTTGGACTATTTTGTAATGATAACATTTATTTTTACCTTGGTTAATTTTAACCAGTCCTTCCCTCCAGGATGCATGTTAATGAATTCAGTAAAGTCATACAAACAATCGTGGATCCTCCAAAATCCCTCGGCTCCATCGTCAGCCCTTTTCCCGTTCAACCAGGTTAGGGCACTGTGGAGGGGATGGTCCCTTAGAGTTGGATATTTTATTCCAAGACTGGACAATTTGTTCATTTCTGACCGAGATTTATGGTTCGGTGGAAACAGTTGCTTCGACAAATAATTTTTCGCTGATTGGATAAACTTTTGGTCCAAAAAACTGCCCATGGTCCTAGAAAGAAAAATGTGAGTTGTATTATCGACGATACCAACTAAGGTGCGTGTCGCACATTGCTTACTATTTTCACGTAAGTTTCCAGTTGAAGGAAATATCGTTTATAAAAACATTTATGCATATAAAACCTATTTATACTGTGACTTTAAATTAATCATCAATATTGTTTGCTCTTAGTGAATAGAAAAAATGCTGACAGCCTTTGACTCTAGTAAAGAGATTTAATAAAGTTAATTGGAAAATTTTCATATAAAACATCTTTAAAATATATTTTTTTGTATGTATCTTCTCATAATATATCCTTAAGCCTTTATTTTTTGTGATAATTCCAAAAATGTAGTTTTGTGTCAATAAAAAGCTTATTTAACCTACTCCTATTAAAGTTTGCATTACAAAACAAAATTATTTTCATTAAGATAAAATTGATAACCAAAACCTTTGTATAATAGGTATCAATTGATCTGTATTACAATCGAAATAAATTCCTTGCAATTAATTATTCTAGATATGTAAATCATTATTCTATATACATTATTTATAATGTAACTTTCATTCAACGCAATACTAGAATAATAATTCTATTTAAACAGTAGATTTTGCTTAATGATTCAAAACAATAGGTCGAATGATATTTTATCGGAAAACTATAGTACGGTGGTTATTTGAAAAAAAGTTGTAATGGATTTTATTTCAGTTTTTGGTAGCATTTTAATTTTTGTAGGTACTTACTTTTCATTATAAATTACGATATATGTTGGAGGCAACTTTGTCTACATATACAGGCTAACTAGAACATGACAAATAAACACAATAAACAGAGTTAGCAATGTTTATAACCAGATATCAAAACACTGCCTACTTGAATATGAACTTTGATATGATAGAAAACCGCATTGTCACTGTACAACGGCTGTAATTATCAGAGAGGAATAATAAGAGCTATTAAATATCAAACAGCAGCTGTCAATAAACTAATTAAAGATCCGTAACACACAGGGGATTTGTTAAAAATACATGCACACTAATTAAAGTAGCATAAATGATTTTGTCGGTTGCAGTTTTGTATTTGGCAAGTTGTTTTTTAGCGACGTAATTCAAATTTTAATCACTAGTGAAATAATGGTATATTGTTATATTAGGATTAAAATTAAAAGTGTCAACTTCAGCTCCTAGGATTAAGAGTGAATACTTTTGTTGCTAAGATACCATTTTTTTTTCTCAGTAAGGAAAATATCAATCTTAGAGACTTGCGACAGTCATAGTCATAGTTTTGTGACGGTTGAAGAATAATTTAAATAAAGAAAACAATATTAAAAAATTAATTATTTATTAGTATTTATCTTAAAGTGACACACCACTTGCTTGTGTTTCATAGTGTACTCTCATTTTAGTTTATAATCAATTTTTTTAACCTAAACGACGATGTTGAGAACCTCAAGGTACAATATTTGGCCCTTTCTGTTTAAGCTTTATAAATTTATCGAACTAATAAAAACATTTTTTCCTTTACTTGCAAATACAATAAGAATATATTTGAAAAATAACACAGCCACACAAAAAAGAAAAGTAGTCTGTGCTTTTCATGCGACATATGTTGCCAGTAGTATTTTTGCCTCCTGATCACGAATCCGGTGTCAGAATTGAGCTATCACATCACAGGAATTTCCTAACCTCAAAAAATAGGTCAAAAATAGCAAAAATTCACGAAAAAGTGCTAGAAAAACTAGAATTTTTTTTCTATATTCAAATGTTCATTTATATAGTTAAGATCCCGCCGAACGTGAAGCAGTCAGAATTGATGGTTCTTTTTCTAACCTCAAAAAAACGGGTCAATTAAGGTCAGATATCACGAATTTTCAAAAAATAACAAATTCGCGCCTAATTTGGTGAACGGGGATTTTCGGGGTCGCTGATCACGGATCCAAGGTCAATTTTGCAAAATTCAAGATGGCGGATCCAAGATGGCCCACAAATTTTCAAAAAATAACAGATTCGCATCAAATTTGGCATAAGGGGATTTTTGGGGTCGCTGATCACGAATTCGAGATCAGATTTACAAAATTCAACCTGTGAATAGATCTTTTACAGAAAAAAGAACAAGATATAGCCGAAAAAAAATAAATTAACACATGATTGAGTACTCAGGTTATAAAGTAAAATATTACAAAATGAGTTTCGCAATTCTGACCTCGAATACGTAATCAGCGACCCCGAAAATCCCCCGTTTACCAAATTTGATGCGAATCTGTTATTTTTTGAAAATTTGGTCGGTCATCTAGGATCCGCCATCTTGAATTTTGCAAAATTGACCTCGGATCCGTGATCAGCGGCCCAGAAAACCCCCGTATACCAAATTTGGCGCGAATCTGTTATTGTTTGAAAGTTCGTGATATCTGACTTTAATTGACCCGTTTCTTTTGAGGTTAGAAAAAGTACCTTTAATGCTGATCGTGGATTCACCTTGGGCGGGGTCTTAACTATATAAATGAACATTTGAATATAGAAAAAAAAATTTTTGTATTTTTCTTATCACTTTTTCATGAAATTTTGCTATTTTTTTCCTTTTTTTTTTTGGGTTTGGGAATTTCTTTTGTTTTGTTGGTTCATTTTTGCCCCGGGTTTGTTGATCAGGAGGCAAAAATACTACAGATAACATATGTCGCTTGAAAAGTACAGACTACTTTTCTTTTTTTGTGTGGCTATGTAATTATTTATCTATTCTTTTTCAAATCAGGTGGATTGGAATTGGGCTCAACCCTCACAAGCTGTTGGAATCCTCCGATTACGGCGTCCCACTGTGAAATCATCCTCAAATTGACGCCGTACTTGTCGAGGACATCGTTAAAAATAGGATAGAGATGTTCCAGAGACCCATGGTCCAAAGTTGGGAACATGTGGTGGAGGCAATGGTCGCCAAAGTTCGTGAGTACCATAAACTGTGACCCAGTGGTCTCCTTACGCTCCATAAGCGCGTCCAATTGGCTCAGACCCCAGTCGTACCCTTGTTGACTCCTAAAACCACAATAAAGTGTTTTAATAGACATGTTTGTTATGTGATTCTGGTAGAAATTACCTAGGGCTGTCGCCATCGTGAAATATTTCTGGATGATGATGAGCAGCGTGCAAAGCAACAAAAGTAAAGTGGCACGATCCGACGACGATGATGAAATTCCACATTATAAAGGTGGAGAATAGTGACCGTCCTCCAAAAAAGTACATAACAGCAGGTAAAATTAAAGCTGTTAAGTCTGTGAGTTTCAAATTTCTACAATTGAAGTGGTGTGCATCTATTAATCTAAAAAGAGCGAAAATACAAAAAAAAATATAGGTGGAAGAACGAAATATTTTCTACCTTCGAACTAAAGATGAATGGAAGAAAGTAAACCACACCAGGGGAGCCATAAGCCAAGAGGTATATCGCTTTAATGGCGTCTTATCTATGGGTAAGTACTTCAGCAAAGGTTCCAATAAGGAAATCTCTAAATCGTCGATGGTATTCGTGAGAAGATGGTGGCTTAGGACGTGGACAATCCTAAACTCCCTACAAAATTCAGTAGGGTAAGTATTAATCAGAAAACATCTTCTAGAACTCATACATACCTCACTTGCATTAAGGAGAACTGAAAGTAGTACATCCTAAGGTTGTCCTTTCTGTGGATGTAGTTGTGCGCGGCCACAGTTACAAGTCCAAGGAATAACCCTGCCAGTATCCCCAACCAGAAGCTCCAGTACCTCACCGCCATAACTGAAAAAGTGAACAGGAGCACCACCATGGCGTCGATTAAAAAATCGGAGGTTTTCGGTGACTGTTTTGGTAACGTTTTCACCACCTTGTTTACTTCTCTCTTCAGGGTCCTGTAGAATCCGTCTTCTTTGAATGTAAAGGGAAAGTTTCGCTTGGATTTCGCTTCTCTTACGAAGTATTTCTTCATTAGTTCTTCGGATAGAGACGTCAGGTGGTGGACCTCAAAGGCTTCTGTGATGTCTGTGCCCTATGTCGAAGGGTAGAGTTAAAGTCTGATAACCGTGTAATGGTACTTTTCCATTCAAGAATGGAAAATATCAATTCGAGATTTTTCAAAAAATTTCGACGTCAGTAAATTCAATGTTAAAAAGTATACTGAATATCAAAAAAATGAAATATCACAAAATTTCCAAAATTAATAAATTAATACCATATTTGAAAAGCAAATCAGTTGGATATCGTCCGAAATTCAGAAAATAAAAATTTGTAACGAAAGAGGAATTTAAGAGATTTTTACAAGAAGCACCTGATAATAGATTTCTGCTAGAAAAGGTAATTTAAATTAATATAATAAAGCGATCGATTTAACTACTTTTGGACAACTTTTCTGGTCATTTTAATAATTGGTGTTTGTCGAGCTTTGAGAAGAGACGAGCCACTAAAGATAACGATAGATGATATAGAAGACAAAGATTCAATTATTATTATAAGAATTCCCGATTCCAAAACTAATACTCCAAGATGTTTTGTGATTTCAAGTCCAGACCAACTGAAAATATATCGCAAATTCTGTGCTTTACATCCTACAAGTCGAAGGTTTTTTATATGTTAGGAAAAATGTGTTAACCAATGTGCCAAAAGAAATAGCAACTTAAACGCAAGGGCTGATATTTCCACTATGGGTGGTGGCGTTCTAGTACGGTAGCGGATACATATACAGGGTGTCCCAGAATTAGTGCCCAATAATTTACCAATTGATTCTATTGCCAAAAATAAGAATATTTCTTCATATTGGTCGAGAAATGCATCCTAAGGGAGATATGCCCCCCTAAATGGGGCCCCAAAAAAAATCATTTTTTTTAATATTTCTGAAATGGGTTCAAGGAAAATTATGAATTTTGACACCATGAACGCTGATTAATAGTCGAAATAGATTATCATGAAATTGTTTAAATATTTTGATCAGGGGCGTCTTAATTGAGGGGGTCGTCGGCTAATATTCGTCCCAATTTTTTTTGCTTGTCGAAATTTTCAAATAATTATTACATAATTATTTATTTCTTTCGATAAAATGCTCCATTTCCAAGAAAAACTGATTTATGTGCTTTGAAATACACAATTTGGAATGTGTTATAACATAATATTTAAATCGATTTTTCTCGAAAACGGATTACTTTTTCGATATAAAACAACATTACCATTTTTAATAGAAAACTCAGATATATCAAATTTTACTGTTTAAAGTTGAAAATAGTAACATCTAGAAAAAATTTTTGATAAATAACTCGAAAACCTTGCGTTTTATCGAAAAATCCATATAAAGCAAAAATAAAGCTTTTGAAATAACGAATCGATTGATTACCGTAGATGTAATAATAACCGAGTTATCACTCTCTAAAGGTGATTATTTGTTTATTTTTCGGAAAGTAAAATCGAACCTTTTACCGTAAAATAATGGCGAAAGAACTAATTTTTCGAAGAAAATTAATATAACCTTTTTAAAGTGCTTGGAAAAAACCTTTAAAATGCTTTTTGAAAAAATTTCGTAGCTCAAAAACTCGCGGAGTAATGATGAAAATAAAATGGTCATCTCATTTTTTCGGAGAAAAATCAACAATAAAATCTATGGCTGAACCATAAAAATTGAAACTAAGCGTAATCCATGTACAGTTGACTTTATTTAGGTACTAATTTTAGGCTCTGCAAATTTGACCGGTTTAGAATGACTAAATTTAAAAAAAAGTTTGAAATAATGAAAAAAAAAAATTAGTTTTAAAATGCAAGAGTTCAAAATTAAAGGTTTTTTAAATACTATTTTTGCTCTCTTTCAATTTTTAACATTAACTGGGATATTCCTTTTTTTAATTTGCATTTGCGTGCAAGGACTACCTTCTTTGAGCCCTTAAAACCTAAAAATCTCGAAAACGAAGAGTTCAAGACCCTTCAACTATAAAGGTTGATTTGTATCTCTTTCAATTCCCTGCAAATTGCTTTTTGGAGCGATGAAAAATATTAAAAATTAAAAAAGTTATCGTGGAAAAACGAATTGTATTATTCAGTGAAAATGTCGGATCGTGTAAATGGCTTAATTTCCGATAGTTTTCGAGTCGTAATACATGTACAAATACGCTCACGCATGTATGTTGTCCTCCAATTACGGACCAAACAAAGGAAGTCGACAGTGATGATAGTTCTTTAGATGATATGTAAATTTTTGATAATAAAATATAATTATTGTATAATACACAAATCATTTTTATTTTCCCTTTCACTAATTACATAATTTATGTTTCGAGTTTTAAGTAATCTCGTTGAATTTAGTAATGTATCGTTGAGTGTTTTGAAGCAGGTAAAAATTCTCAAATTCCTCATTAAGGATTGAAACGTTGCAATGAATATTATAAACAGTGACGAGTCTTTCATTCATTATAAATGCTATGAAGATGTGAAAAACATTTTTTGCTTTATTTTCTGCAATAAGGGTGGTAATAAATCATGTACTATTTCATAAACATAAAAAAATATTCAATTCTTCATTATTGCTCCGTCAAAACATTTCAGAGCTGCGAAAACTAATTTTTTTTTCCTCATAAAGGGTCGATTTTAAACCTTGAAATGTTGCTACAAACCAAAAATTATTATTCAAAACATAAAAGAATGCTTATTCTATTGACATTACACTTAAATCTATGGTTTTTACGCCTTTTGCAAGAAGGGGTAGTTTTCACCCCCTAAAAGCAAAAAACACATATTATGGATAAGTAACTTTTGTAAAGGAGGGTGAAATGAGCTTACTCACCAATTTTCATGAAAATCGGTGCGTGCGTCAAGAATTCGGAGGTAATACCCCATTTTTACCGTTGTATACTGGACTATATGTTCTAGAACGAAAAAGACTGGAGTTCTAGAATATAAAAGTATTTTGCAGCTAGGTGACTCACTTTGTCAACTGAAAATTTAACGAAAATGTCGACTTTTTATGACAGTTTTCGAAAAATAATTGTTTTTCTAAAATTGACAATTTCAAAGAAATTATTTTATGTAGTGAAAGCTGTTCGAGTACCTTGGTTATAGAAATCCAATCCGACCCACCGGGATGCTTTTCGATGAAATCCTGCAAATCGTAAATGCCATCGTGAATCCGCCATAGTCCTTCCGCGCCGTCTGTGTCTTGTTTTTCATTTAACCAAACGTCGACAGTTAAAGCGTAACCGCGAGACCTGGTAGCTGGAGGAACTATTCCCAAACTCGATTTCGGCACAAAATCAGACTGAGGAGGCATTTTTCGCTCGAAAAATCACCATTGCCACTCGTATATACATAGTTGCCGATAATAACATCGATATATATATATAGTACCTACTGTTTATCGGACTTGTTGGCCTTTGATAAGAGAGATTATAGTGCAGAGTGGTAACCACGTCTTAGCTTTCCATCTCTTATCAAGTGCCAGCCCGTGTTAATGTATTAAAAAAATCTATAAAGAACCAATTAAATCGTAAATAATGTGTATATTAAACTTCGATACGTGATGGATTTGTGACAGACAAGTAAAAAAAAAAAGTTAGATTACAGACAGGACAAAGTTAAAATAAAACGAGGAGATTTCTTTCAACCGCGAATTAAATAGATATGTTTTTTTTCCTAATAACATGAATTTTTTATATTTTTGACATGGGCGTAGCTGTAACTTTTGCTTAGAGTGGGCTCAGGGCTGTAAGCTCTATAGTGGCCTCTAAAAAAAGCTCTCGAAATCAGCGACCGCATATTTGATTCTAAGAAAAAGGACGCAGTCACCGACTTACCGATATGACAAAGATAATAATATTAGATCTTTTTTTCTGGAGTAGGCACCGGGCTTTGTCGGGTAGGTCATACTCTCCTTTTATTTTCTACTTGTACTAATTTGTAGATGAATAAATGAATAAGAGGATTGATTGGATAGGGCGGACGGAGTATGCATTCGCTGAGGCCATCTCGTGTTGGTGTGGCAAAACATTGTTCTTTATAGAAATTTTTAAACGAAAACCTGCAATCACAGATCCAATCTGTATTTCCAATATTTCCGTATTCCCAATCTTCCAATCTTTCAATCAATAGAAATAGAAAGTATGCGATTATCTTTATTAGTTTATTTTGGTAGGCTATTGAGTTTTGTGCATTAATAAATTTGTTTCGTTTTAGATTAATGTAATTTATTGAATCAATCATCTGAACTACTTTATTGCTTTTTATTTAGTTTTTTTTATCCAAAATAAGTTCACCTCTGGTATAACTAAACGCCAATGTTGTGCTCGAAATTGCAAATGCACATCATAAAATTTTTCTCAGAATTACAATAAACCAATAGACAGACAATTACTGTGGATAGAATCAGTTCGAAAATTATGTAAACCAGACTTTACTCTGACAAACACAGTTTATTATTTTTGTGAAGACCATTTTGAGTTAAAAATGTTTTAAAAATAGTAATAGGAATGCTATTAATTGTAATAATATATCACCTCCGATAGTATCCAATATTCAGGAAAACAGTTTGTTAACGTAACGTTACAAAATTTTCAGAGTACGAGCTGCCAAACTTTTTCACCTCCACCTTTTAAAAAACCTAAATACACATATTCAAAATAGTAATTTACTGTAAGTGCTATAAGTGTACCATGTTGTACATACTATGAGTACCTCAACTCCCACATTTAAAAGAAATCTGCAGTACATCGTACTGATGAGAACCAATTAGTTCGAAACAAATGTATTTAATCATAACTTTTGGCAAGCAACTGTACGATGCATTTTACATAAAAGCAGGTAAATAATTCTTTAAAATTTGCAGTTTTAATGGTTTCTTTCAAAAAATAATAACAATAGTTTTCTTGTACATTTTTTTCATAACAATTTATATATTTGTCACACATTTAAACATAACTGCTTTAACTTTTTCATTTAATCAAGTGATAATTAAAGAGTTTCATAAGTAATGAGTCATGAAACATATGTTAATGGTTCACTTAATTTTAATTATCAAAGCCGTTTTGTAATCTATTACTTATGAAATATTGGTCAATTTTATTACATTACCGCATTATGGTGCAGCGACATCTATTAAACAGTAGAATTAGAGGTTACTCTAATTGTGTTTTCTCATGCAGTCTCCTTAATTACTTTATGGCTTTATGGTCTGTGGTTTCCGTGTGCGTCGTTTGTTATACCAATTACAGATGGCGCACTCTGCCGCTGTTGCCTAGAGTTGCCTACAGTGACGAAAGTCACTGTACTGCTGCCGACAGTCAAAAAATCCTCTTATTTATTTACTCTTATGTATAAAACTAATGATATGTGCCATTGGTTGTATGTATAAGCTCCCCTATAAATAGTATACTCAGGGATTTCTGCAACCCTCTTGTCCTGTACAACTAATGATTTCTGCAGCGATTTTTTTTAGGTAGGATTCTATAAATTCAGTGTGTCCGTGCACTTCGATAGAGGTTGCCACAGACAATAATGTATCTATTATATATTATAGATATTAATGAAACCGAACCATTTTGCGGCAAAACTAGGTATGTGGGCAAAACAATATTGTCAACCCCAAAATTAAGTTTGAATTTTTAATACATTTTTACATAATTAACTTTCACATAATATGTTAAACGATTAATTACGCAATATTAATTTTTAATAGCTTTTGTTTAAACATAATATGCCAATATTCCGTATAGGTCTCTGCGATCAAAACAATCAGATTTGATTAAACTTACCTTTGTTCTAAGTGGCTTCGTTTAGCCTAGAGAGAATATCAAAGTTGACAAAAAATTGTTTTTTTTTTTTAATAACTTCGAAACGGCGCGTAGTGTAAGATTTTATTCTACTGTCAACAATTAGACCTCATGTTACTGTTGTAATAAAATAAAATATTCTAGAATTCTGGATTTTCAATTTTCGGTTAATTACGTCACAACGTATATTTTAAGTAAAGTCAAAAAAAGTCAAAAAGTACAGGTTTCACATTTTTTAACCTATTTTCACTTTGTGATGTACTTCAAAGGTTGGGAAATACCCCACCTTTGACTCAACATCTCAACAACGACTCGCTAAAAACTTTTTAAAAAAACGTCCTATCTTTTATACGAGTATATTTAAAAATATTATGATATGGAAAGAGTTGCATTGGTTGCAAAAGCTATAAAGAAAGATATCCTTAAATTTAAATTAGTTGACCCCATCAAAATTGTATTTCCATGATAGGGTTTGTTATAATAAAAAAACGAGGTGCTAAATCATTTACAGCTTTATTTATCTTCAATAAAACAAGTCTTATCTCATTTTGCGCATATACCATATAATTTATAATAACATCAACGATCGCGATAACCCCACTGCTAACGCAAACAAACAAAATCGTTACAGCAATTACGAAAAAAAATATAACAAATTAGCCAAAAAATCATTGACGATACGTTTTGTTATTTTTTTGTATTTGTCATCTAAAAGAGATAACCCAAAATCAACTATATTTCAAATATTTACAAACTCAGTTTCTACGCTACGGCTAATTCTAGACTTATTTTTTCTTGTACTTCTTTAGATCTGGAGGAGCGGTGTTAGGCTCGACCTTCACCAGTTGTTGGAAGCCCCCAGTGATGGTGTCCCACTGAGAGACCATCCTCAAATCGAGATCGAAATCGTTAAGAACCTTCTTGAAAACCGGATAGAGGTAATCTAGGGTGCCGTGGTCCAACGTGGGGAACATGTGGTGGAGGCAGTGGTCACCAAAGTTGGTTAACACCAAGAAGTGGGATCCGCTGATCTCCTTGCGGTCCATAACTGCGTCCAATTGACTGATACCCCAGTCGTAGTCCGTCGTCGACCTATAAATTACAAATTAGCGTACCTTAATTTGTTTTTCATGGGAATTTAATTGAGTTTCGTTTATACCTTGGCACATCGCCATCGTGGAAGATATCCGGGTGGTGGTGGGCAGCGTGCAGACCGACAAATCCAAAGTGCAAGGCGCCGACGACGAGGACGTAGTTCCACATCCAAAAGGCGTCCAAAAATGATCGACCTCCGAATAGGTACATAGCAAGGGGCAGGAGGAAACTGCTCAGGTCTGTAATCCTCAAGTTCTTGCCCTTGCAGGATAAAGCTTCCTTATACCTAAAAAAATAATGTTAAAGTGTAGTTTTCTTCGATCGCAATTCTATTAATGCAACTATTCCTTGCTCTACGTTAGAGGTCGCTTTATTGCCAGACCTCTAAAACTAGAAAATCCGGAAACATCCCGGTCATTCATTTCGCAGATCAAAAACTCCTTTCTTAGCACATTGTAGAGTAGGAGGTCTCATATTTTTTAACTTATTTTAATTTTGCATATTTAAAAAGTTGAAAAACATCCCACTTCGCAAAAATCTTAGCATTACCTACCTCTTTACAAACGGTGCATGGAAAAATGTCAGCCATACCAACGGGGCAATGACCAAGGCCTGACCATATCGCTTCAAAGGCGTCTTGTTGATGGGTAGATACTCTAGCAGGGGTTCTAGAAGGGACATTTCAAGGTCATCGATAGTGTTCGTGTGGAGATGGTGGCTTAGAATGTGGCTGATCCGGAACTCTCTACAAAAAAATTCAAAACTTATTTACTTATACGACATACCTTTGACCAAAGAACCCTACCTTACTTGCTGCAGAGAAAATTGGAAGTAGTACATCCTGAAGTTATTTTTCCTGTGAATAAAGTTGTGGGAGGCGATGGTGACCATCCCAAGGAGTACTCCTGCTATCACCCCCAATCCATAGCTCCAGTATCTCACAGTTAGGACCGAAAAGAGAAACAAAAGGAAAAGCAAGGCGTCAATGAAGAGTACCGAGTTCTTAGATGCTTGTTTCGGGACGTTCTTCAGCTCCTTTTGGATCTCCTTCTTCAGAGTTTTGTAGAACCCGTCTTCTTTGAAGGTGAATGGTGCGTTTCTTTTCTTGGAAGCTTTCCTCACGAAGTACTTCTTCAGCAGTTCTTCTGGGCCTGCGCTTAAGTGGTGGACCTCGAAGGCCTCGGTGATGTCTGTTCCCTAGAACAAGTCACCTTGCTTTTATTGACTAAAATAAATAATTAGAATAAAAGTATAACGACGGTTTTCAGTTACTAGGATTATCCTATACACGTTTTTGAATAGGGGTCAAAGGTCAACGACTCTTATCTCCTGGAAACTTGAAACAGAGTTATATCATCAATTGCTTTGCATATTATTAATGTAAAAAGTCCATTTGAGTTCAAATGTCGACAAAATTAAATTCAATTAAAGGAATATAGTCTATTTTTTCTTATAAATCCATTTTCAAGTTACATATTTATAAAATTATGTCAAATTATTTTTGTCTCTTCCAATATATTAATAACAAAACTATAACAATAATAATGAAAACATGTGCTTTTGTAAAAATGTTGATTATTAGTGTATGCATTTATTAATTTTATTTTATTCATCCAACGGGGGAAGGAAATCAATAGAGGTTTTGTTTGTGACAAAAATACTAGTAGCAAACGGACTGTGTCTTCATATAAAAGACAGTCTGTAGATATATGCTTATATGTTTCCTACTCCAATTCACCATTAATTAATTTTTCATAAACATTTTTATACAAGAAAATGCATTTTTTTAGTTTTTTGCTTATAAAACCTAAACTAACGAAGCAATATGAATGCTATACAGAGACAATTTGTAGAGAATCGAAATACGAATAAAACGAGAGGTCGATCGATCCGATCGAATAATTGGAAACGAAGATAACCCGGAAAATAGGAAAATTATGCGTTTTAAAAAAAAAATTCGTTACCCAGCCATTTTTTAAGTTGTAGAGCTGACCCTATGCACAAAAGTAGTGAATTTTATGTACTTTAAGTGTGCACAAAGCAGGCGCCGTGCGCCGTCGGAACCATAAATTTTGGCACAATTGCAAATTGAATTTTTTGGTACACTATTTTGCAAAATTTCTGAATGCGTTGGAGGTGGTCCGATTTAAAATTTTCAGCCGAATTTTAAAAGTAGAAGTATAATACGTATATTCTAATTTTCAGATAAAATGATGCGAAATAGTTAAAAAATTCCTTTAAACTTGCTCAAAAACGGCCTAACGCGCGTACGTGGTTGAGTAGTGGGGGAATATCGGGATATGAGGGGCAGTGTATATATAGGTATACAATTTTGAATATTGTTAGTTATAGCATAGTTTAATATTATTGTATAGTCCAGGAAAATAAGTTGAGAAATTACCATTTCGCCACATTTTGTTTCGGCAAGCTGAATTTATCACTATAGATGCTAAATATTATGTACAATAACATATTAGTTTCCACAGTCATAAAAATGGGGGGAATTGGGGGATTGTTAATTTTTACGTAAAGTCACGTTTTTCGCTTATAACTTTTTCCGTTCATTTCCACGAAAAAATAGTAAAGTACTTTTTTTCGTCTTCAAAAAACCTACAAAACTAGCCCTCGAGCGTCAAAAAATATCCATTAGATCAAAAGTTATAAACAGAAGAAGTTTATTTATGACTTTTGAATTAAACATTTATAAACTGCGTTATTATTACCAGAACGTTTTGGCATCGCATCCTCTCATTTCTTATCACTGTCTAATAACTCACACGAAATCTGAAATCGGTAAATTGAATAGTTTACAAGTTATGGCCTTATAAACAAATTAACTAATTATTAGTCTGGACGATCCCGAGCATCTTTCACAATCTATAATTTTTTTTTTAATTTCAAATTTACAACCTAGAATTTTTTTTTTTTTAGCCATAGTTGCAAAATGAAATATACGACGCACGAGCAATATGTAGTTATATATTATTACATATTCGGAAAGTTTATGAAAAGAGCTTTAAGTTAAAAAAAAGTCGTCAAAATTCGTTGAAAAACAACGAAGTTACAGGTTGCAAATTTGATATTAAAAAAAATAGATGATAGATTTCAATGTATTATTATGAAATTTACCATGAAAAAAATTAGTGCGATTGTGGAAGATGCTCTGGATCGTCCAGACTAATAATTAGTTAATCTGTTTATTAGGCCATAACTTGTAAACTATTCAACTTACCGATTCCAGATTTCATGTGAGTTTTTAGACAGTGATAAGGAATAAGAGGATGCGATGCCAAATCGTTCTGGTAATAATAACGCAGTTTATAAATGTTTAATTCAAAAGTCATAAATAAACTTCTTCTATTTATAACTTTTGATGTAATCAATATTTTTTTATGCTGGAGGGCTAGTTTTGTAGGTCTTTTGAAGACGAAAAAAAAAAGTACATCACTGTTTTCTCGTGAAAATGAACGGAAAAAAATTATAAGCGAAAAACGTGAATTTAAGTAAAAATTATACAATTAACCACCCTGTAAACAATCTTCCCCCCATTTTTATTACTGTGGAATCTAATATATTATTGTACATAATATTTAGCGTCTATAGAGATAAATTCAGCTTGCTGAAACAAAAGGTCGCGTCCAACTCTATAGTTCCTGGACTATGTATGTGGTGATACGATAAATCTCCAGAAATTTTGCAAAATCTTGCACCAAAAATTTAAAATTGCAATTGTGCCAAAAGTAATGGTCTGATAGCGCCTGCTTTGTGCGCACTTAAAGTACTTATAATTCACTACTTTTGTGCACAGGGTCAGCTCTACAACTTAAAAAAATGGCGAAGTAATAATTTTTTTAAAAAAAAAACGCTAAATTTTCCAAGTTTTCCGGGTTTTCTTCGTTTCTAATTATCTGATCGGATCGATCGACCTCTCTTTTATTTGTATTTCGATTCTCTACAAATTGTCTCTTTATAATATACAGATTGCTTGGTTAGTTGAGGCTTTATAAACAAAAAACTAAAAAAATGCGTTTTTTGGATAAAACTGTTTATAAAAAATACATTAATGGTAAACTGGAGTAGGCAATATATACCTAAGCATATTTCTAGAGACTGTCTTTTATATGATGGCACAGTCCGTTTGCTAGTACTACTTTTGACACAAAATCACTGACTTCTATTGACTGGCCTACTAAAAGCAGAGCAAAACTATGAATTAAAAAAATAATTGTCAGTGAATAAAAAACAAAACAAATACTAATATTTTTATACATAAATAAAAAAATAATATTGAACAAAATGTAAACAGTTAGTGGAGAGTCGATTTTTCAAATCATTAGCTTACAACAAAGAGTGGACATTAAAATCATTCGAGATATCATTAATAAAAAGTAAAAAATGCAGTGGGCCAAGTATCGAATCTTGAGGTACACCTGATTTTTAAACAAGAAATATGTTCGCGAATAAAGCAAATACTTGAAATTTTGTTAGTTGTACAATGGATCTATCGGTATACCAAAACGGCAAATGCATACCCTTGAATTCTTACTTTAAATTAATTAAACGTTATAAATCACCATAAAGTGGTAACATTCTATGCGATACTTAATTCTTATATTTCTTTTGTTCGAAATGTATTAAATATAAATTACCTTTGTCACTACAAGCCATTCGTCACCCCCGGGATGTTTGTCGATGAAATCCGACAAATCGTACAAGTTATCATGAACCCTCCACAGTCCTTCTGCACCATCTGTATCCTGCTTCTCTTCCAGCCATAAGTCGACGGTAAGAGCTGCTCCATGTTTTCTAGTAGCCGGCGGTACGATCCCAAGGGTGGATTTGGGCACAAAATCCGACTGAGGAGGCATTTTACCCGAAACGTCTAGACTGAGAGATCTGTTAGTTTGCTGGGTTATCCTCAGACTGATGCCTCTTTACTACTGACTCCACAGTCTTATTTTTGATACTGCTTTAAACAAACAATTACTTTTGTTGTGTAAACAACAATGACCCTTGATCCAAAACGCCTAGAAGGAGCCAAAAGACACGGCTCGATGACCAGCTTAAGTAAACTAAAGCCTTATCAGTGTTGAAACAAAAATTTGAGAGTTAAATATCACCCTCCTTAGATTAATTGCTTCATCTACAAATACAGCACTTTTTTTAATGCATTTAAAATTTTAAACCTCATGCATTAAAGCAAAATTATGATAATTTGATAATATTAACTTAAATTAAGGTAATAAAATCCGTTAACTTTAAATGTCTGATTAATTTTAGTGCAAGTGTGACGTCATACCTTCAGCTATCAGATTATAATTATCGCCAAAATGTGCCTAAATCCTTGAAATTCGGCCGGCTGACTGTAGCTCATTTGTTTTGTAATTATAACCCAACTTTTTTATACATCGTAAAGATGTATAAATTATCAAAGCAAATGCTGTAATAATTGTGGATTTAACCTTTTAAATTGAAGCTATAGATTAGCATTACTTCTTAAAATTGTGTTGGAAGTTCGTGGAATTTGAGTGAACTAAACATTATTGGCATGATAACCCTAGTGTGTTTATTTTTTCTTATCCTAAAGCAAAGTTATTGCACAAATAGTGATTCCCTATGTTTAAATTTGGATGTTTCCATCACTCAAAAGGTCGAACATGAAGGATTTCACAGGTCAGTGGTTTTTAAAATATTAGTACGTATCGGAATATTTCGTGTGCATAAAATAGCTTGTGTAATGTGGTTATTAAACCAAAGATAAAATCTTTCCAACTTTGTGGTCGACAGAATCTTTAATACCTACCTAAAGTTTCCAAATGTAATGATAACATCACAAAAACAAACAAATAATGCTGTCTTATATAAATACTGTCTTGATTTGATCAAGAAAAATTGAAAAATGGAAGTAAATCAGCATTTACTAAAAACTCACCTCGTTATACATTTTTAAAGCTAATTATTTGAAAATGTTAATTATTAACAATGCCTCATTATAGTAGGAATATAATTAGTCGATAACAAGTGAAATTGATAAGCCAAATATAAATAGTAGTAAACATAATTTCTATTATCAATATTTTTTCTAGAGAAATCAGGTGGTTAGTAGAAACCCCATCCCCTTCGAAAAAGATATGGATGGAATCTGGTTGTAAGCTGTCACTTAGACTCGATGTCTCCCCCGGGATGTACGTTAATCCCGACGAGGTTGCAGAGACGAATCGTACCCGAAAAGTATATAAAATTGATTACATTCATCTTATGAACGTGTTATGTAATTTTCCATTATTTTCAGCTTTTGTTGCACATCGACGGTAGCGTAGACGTTGAAGCTCCTGCTCATGAGGCCACCGAACACGTTGTATATATTTTTCTCAATAGCAGTGACATTGGCAGGATATCGGTCGATCTACCCGTTCATTTGAGGTACCAGAGAAGCCAGATTACCGGTGGGTGAGTGAACTATTATTATTAGTGATAAATTCACATTTTTAGTTAATTAGAGTTATATATTTTACATTGCTTGGCTTGTATCTATAAAATTTATAATAATGTTTTCTCTGTATTTTTGCAATTATCTTGTTGATTAATTTTCTTTTGGTGTAACCAACAAACAAGTCTTAGCTGAAGTGTTGGGTAATCTAGTGTTAAAAAAAATTAAGTCGAAACTCGAGGATTATCGTTCACGTGTGTTATTTATAGAAATGTTGAAAATTTTTAATATTTTTACGACTGTATACAAATTTAAGGTTATCACTAAATAGATAAAAATGTAAATTATATTTGAATGTATACATTTTTTTTTTGCTGGCAAATACCACGTCTTGGAAATAATAGCTGACTTTTTTATATAGTTTGGCGCCTCATCAAAATAATAATTTTTATAAATTGTATCTAATAAAAAATTAATAATAAAAAGTAACATAGTTGTTAGGAAAACATACAGCTTGACCTTAACGAAAGCTATTCCAAAATTTAAAGCCTAACGATGGTATTATGTAATTCTTACAATTTCGCTGTAATTGCAGTACTTTTACCTTTATATCTTTGTAAACATTTCTATTTCGTTTATAGCTTTGGAAAAGTTCCTTTGAAAAAACCAAGTCTTCTTTCTTGGTGTCCAGATTCTCTCGACAGAATCTGCGGAAAGGGTTTAAAAGTAGAGGCCCCGTGTGACGAAACTGCTACGAGGTTGTGTGTGTGGAAGAATTTTACTTATCAAGCGGTAAGTCTCAGTAGTTTTAGACATTTCTCACGTATAAGACTGTGCTATGTTTATACCAAGACCCTGTCACTCGTTCATAGCCATTGCAATTGCTGTTATAATCTAAAATTGCAGCATTAGTGTTGAATTGCTTGTGTGAAACCAATTTTTATATAAGCAGGGTGTACACCAATCTGGGAAACAAGGAAAATCTGGAGATCCCGGGATATTAGGGATTTTTAAAAAATTTTCTGGATTTTTGTTTAAATCTAGATGTAGTCAGTTTTATTTACGAAATGGTGCCACTGAGTGTCACTAAATTGTTCCGGTAATATTCCTATTTCTGTTTTTATTATATACAGGGTGTCCCGGTTACATAAAACAAACCCAGTAATAGAACTCCTGAGAATAAGGAAAAAGTTTTTATAGACACAAGTTGGAAAAAGTGTAGCACCTAATTTTCTTTAATGACATTTTTTTCACTTAAAACCAAAAAAATGTATTTGTTTTTTACAAAAACCATCTCATGCATTGTTTACGTAAATTACACAATGCCGAGAACAAATGAGTGTTCATTATTGGGCAACAATTAAATAAGACATTTTTTTATTCTGTAAATTTGTTTGCCTTTCGGTGTTTTGGATATATTCAAAAAAATGTTATGATGAATTGCTTGAACACCCTGTATATTGGAAACTAAACACCTCCTGACCTTTACTGAGACTTTAGTAAAAAATCCAACATATTTTTTGAAAAATACATATACCTATCTTTTAAGTTTTGACCATTTTACTCCAAAATTAAGTTATCTACAAAATTTTTGGAAAAATTTAATTAATGCTAAAACGAAATATTTTTGCAGCTATTCGATGATGTAGAACTGTTCGTACCAGTTGGAGACCTGGACGATTATCCTTTGGTATCCATTGTTACGCTCCTGCTGGGATGTGCAGGGTGCATTTATGTTTTGTCTATTTTGTCTATGACACATATTTAAAGGCTGTGAGGAATTTTTTTCCTGTTTCGTTTGAGGGAATTGTGGAATTTCGTGTCAGTAATTGTTCTAGTCGAATCAATTCAGTTTCTGTGATAAGGTGACAAATTTCTGGCTGACCGGTTTTAATGTAACCAAATTTGAAATTGCTCATAACCATTTCAAGCAATTTTTTGCATAATTAGTCACGAAATTAATTTATTAAAAAAAATTCTTATATAATTTTCACTTAATTACGTCACAAATGCACATTTGAATTTTTTTGTTATACATATGGAGTGTCCCAAAATATGTGGGCAATCTCTCGGATTTATACAGGGGACGTTAAACTAACATGACAAGTTACAGGCCCCTAAAGGACATCCTTGAAAATCGATTTTTTTTAATAATCGTGTAATTAAATTATTTTTAGGAAAAACAACATAAATAAAAGTGGCATTTTTTTAGATAGGCACAGAAAGAATGCAAATTTCAGCGGTTTATTTCTCTTGACGGATGTAATAAAAATTATATAAACAAAATAGTTTCTTCTCGAAAACAGTTCATTTTATCGATATCAACCAAGAGTGTTTTAGTTTAAGGTTCAAGCTATCTAAAAATATTATTTTTGTGCCTTTATTGTAAACCGTGTAAAAAAATTGACATTATTGTGATATAGCTAGTCCATCTCTGGCAAACCAAATAAGTCAAATTGTTTTCATGGGTCAATTTTTAAAGAGTTTGGTCTGTTATCCATCGTATTAAAAAATAATTAAATTACACAAAGTATTTTAAAAGTTATTAAAAAAATCGATTTTCAGGACCGTCCTTTAGGGTCCTGAAAATCTGCAGGGGGGCCCTCTGGGGAAAATTTTTATGTTTATGTTATTTTAACGTCCTCTGTACAGATCCGAGAGATTGCCCACATATTCTGGGACACCCTGTATATACTTTGCTGTTTTCTCATTTTGCAATGTTATAGGTATATTTGCAGTATAGTATATATTGTACAAAATAAATATTAAATAAAAATCTATGGTTTTCTATTGTATAACCCATAATACCTCATGTTAAGCCTTTTAATCCTTAGACGGAGACGTGATTGTTATTTTTTCATTTCAAGGTCACTCGAAAGTCAAATCTCTTGAACTTCGCAGGTTGTTTATCTCTTTAGGATAGCGAGATATATATACTGTAGAATGGGTCGTACCACACGTTCCCTTTCAGGGAAGTGTCACATTTCCAGTATATTTTGAGGTAGCAAGATTTGAAATATGTGGAACCAATTATTCTAAAGCTACAAACTGAGAGTATATAGCACCAAATTCTCGAATAAGAAATACATATATCGTTGACATTTTTATGCCTTCAAAATCATGAAACCCAGATCTCATGGATACAAAAATCATCTCACTGTTTTAGAGGCAGTTCTAGTGATTTCTATCGAATGACCTTCAAAGTCAAATTCAAGGTCAACAGATGGTGGTTCCTGGTGACCCAAGCAAATTTTATACAGATTATTTTCCCAATATCTTGTTATCCTCACGAGATAGTACACTGAGAAGTTCGAGAGGTCTATTTGACCTTCATCCGACCTTAAAAATTAAAAAATGTCTCAATTACATCTCCGAACGTAAAATTTCCTCTCCTTCAATATCCGGGGTCAGAAATTGTAACGAGCGTTCAAATAAAAACGTGGTCGAAGTTGGCTCTGACACATTGGACGTAGGGAGTAGCTTATAGCGACCAACTTAACCTCATTTCTCAACGAGCTGTATAGCAGCTGTCAGTTTCAATAACGTTAATGACTATATAACTTTATTTTAAAGAATAATCGTGATAACAATAACAAACAATTAAAGGAGCTGCGGAAAGTGTCCCCCTCCTTGTTATAACAATAAATTAAAGCAGCTGCTGAAAGTGTCCCCCTCCTTGTTCCAAGCACTTTTCACACCTGTTCCTCAAAGAATTAAAGACATTTTCTAAGATGCTCGGGGTATTGTTAATTTCACGAATCTTGTCTATAAGTCGAGCCTGCAGATGGTTTAAATCAGGAATAGGCAGTTCAAAAATAGTGTTTTTAAGGTAAGGCCACAAAAAGAAATCACACGGCGTAATATCACATGACCTCGGTGGAAATTCATGTTCAGCATTGAGACTTATTAGTCGATTTTGGAAAACTTCCCTCAACATATTCATCGTCTCGCCTGCCGTATGTGCCCTTGCGCCATCTTGTTGAAAGTAAAAGTTTGTAATTTCGTTTTCTTCCAGCTGGTTAACAAAAGGAGCGATAATTTCTTCTCTATACCTTTGCGCAGTAAGAGTACCATTAAAAAAAATAGGTCCATAAATCCTCCTTCGATTGAGAGCACACCAAACTCCAATTTTTTGAGCGTGTAGAGGGCCCTCGACAAAAAAGTTATCTGGTTTTTCAGAAGACCACATTCTCATATTCTGTGAGTTTACGTAACCACTTAAATGAAACCAGGCTTCATCAGAAAAAAAGGTGATATTATGAAGTTCACCGTAGTTGTTTAAAAACCATTCACAAAATACAGCCCGTCGCGGAAAATCAACTTCATGAAGTTCTTGCTGACAAGTTAAACGATAGGAGAACAAACGCAAATCTTTTTTTAACACTGTGTGGCAGGTACCGACTGATACTCCCACCATTTGTGATAAAACACGTACAGAAGTTCTTGGCGCATTTTCCATTATTTGTTGGACATTTTCTTTTAATTCTTCAGTCCGCTTTTTAGGTCGGCCGCTTCCTTCTTTTCTTGTTACACTGCCCGTTTCACGAAAAACATTAACACAACGCTGAACTGCACTTTGAAAAATTTTGTACTCAACAACGCCGGGAAATTGATTTTGAAATTCTATGAAACATTCCTCAATAGAATACTTCCATATTCCATCAATCTTGCGTCCATTTCTAAAGTAGGACTCTATGATAAACACTTTTTGTTCTTGAGAAAACACCATTTTAAACGCTTTTTAAAACGAAAATATTCAAATTGATAGCGGCGATATAGCGCTTTGACAGATGACGTTTAAGTTCATTTGCTATACGCTACGCCCTACGTCCAAATTTTCAGAACCAACTTGACCACGTATTTATTTGAACGCTCGTTATTAACCATAAAAAATAAGAGTTGACCTTCAAATAACCTTGAACCAGAGCCAACTCCGTCGTATTTACTTTGGATTCGTCGACCACACATTGAATTCTTGTGTTATTTTTATTTATTTTTTTGTTTATAACAAATAATCTCATTTGGGGATCTCGCAAATCTCATACCCGTCCTCCATTTTGAAACTATACCAGACCTTCATAAAATAGGAACTTCTTCCTCGTCCTCTTCCACATCATTCCACGCCTGTACCTCCCCAGAGCCGAATATGCAATAAAAAACATTCGCGACCGCGTAAATGCTCGCGGTTATGATAAATATTATCCTCCACGATAACAGATTGGTCTGAAACAGTATTAAATTTATTGAAAGATGGTATCAGGAGATTAAAGTCAACCGGATTACCTTATCGGTAACTATGTATTGCACTATCAACGGAGATATGATGGAAAAGATGCTAGAAAACCCGTTGGTGAGCCCCATGAGGATGCCGGAATGGTTCGGCGACAAGTCCAGGTGGTTGACTTGAAATCCGCATAGGCCTCCGGCGGATATCCCCCCGTTTATTATAAGAAGGGCTACCGAGAGCCCCGGGCGGTCTTTTGGCATGAAGCCTACCAGGCCTAGACTCACTGCGGGAATCATAGTTCCTGAAAGCAGAAAACAGTCTGACATTTTTGTTTGATTGGATAAACTTTCATTACAAAATTAATAAAGTCAAATGTTTAGTCATTTGAACAATGAATAAAACAATTATTAAATCCACAATATAGTACACTATAGCCTTAGAAATCTCTTAGAGGTTGTAAGTTAAATAATTAATTTTTAAAGTTCGGCGCCCAAAATGTTTGTTGACACACTAATTCGTGACGTCATTTAGTGCGATGGCGAAAATGAATAACTTGGAAAAACTTGTATCTAATAGTTTTAATATAAATCATGTAAGGGCGAATTTTGATATAATTAACCTATTTATCGATATTCCAGTTAATAAAACTTTAAACATTGACAAAAATAAATCACAAAACGATACGAATTTCCATAGAATCGCCGCTATCTCCAATATTAAGTAATATGGGTGTCAAAATAAGATCTGAGGAATTTGAAATAGCTTGCGACAACAGCTAATAATGCATTGAGCTATCGGATCGAACAAGTCGAGTGGTGTGACGTCACATATGCTCTGCAAATGGCCTGAACTGTTTCAAATATTTCACAAATTCAAAATAATTGATGGTGGTTAATATTAAAGCCATCGACTTTCAACACATATTTACGGAGATTTGTGCTTATGGAAAATATAGAAACGAATTACAAAAATATGACTGACTGAGCCCATTTGTTGCCTCCTTTCTCAATGTGAGATATTTCCAATTACTTGAAACAAATTTTATAAAAATCAACCCTTCAATCTCCATTTTTTGGTGTAATAGGTTATGTTTCTTCCTTTTTACTGTGGAAAAAATACCCGATCTAATAAAATGAGTAACTGGAAATGCAACAAATAAATAATAATTAAAGGGAATATACTTTTGTTTTTTTCTCGTCTTACCGATGCTGCTGAATATCTTCCTAGCACCGCCTCTAGAGACGATCTCTCTGTTTATTAACATATCACAGATGGGACTGAATATCACGGAACAAATCCACATAGCCACGTAAGGTGCTGCCGACAGAATACTGTCCTGAAAATTGCATTTAGAAAATGTATATACGAAAATCGCCTCCGTTTCTTACCGACTTGATGTCGTAGTCCAAAATCTTGTCCAGGTAGGTAGGGATTTCAGTCATCAGCACCGAGCTGCCCCAATTGGCCCCTACAAAGGACAGTGTGATGGCCCAAAAGGGCAGGGATGTCAGGATGGCTTTCCACGGAGTTGGAATTACCTAAAAATTACCTGTTGTAAATCCTAATGAAGTCGAACATATCAAGATTTTCCAAATTAATTTTGAAAAAATCTGCTTTAGACAGAGAGCACAGAAAGTTAGCGTCACCTAGGGCATAGAAAATGAAACAATTACCCTGCGATCTTGATAAGCTAGACTGGTTTCTATGTAAGTCCTCTCTGCAGCCGATATATTCTTATGTAGACCCGGTCTATCGGCACCGAAGAGGATCCAAAGCAGCGCCCACTTCACCCCTAGCGCTCCGAACAAGTAAAAGGCGAAGGGCCAACCCACCCAACTCGAACTAATTAGGCCAGTTGTGGATAAAGCCAGAATATTCCCGAATACAGCGCCTAGAAAGAACTTTGGAAAATTATGCAAATTATTAGTGACATTTTGATAGAAGACTGTGCTAGTTCATAAAAGTGTTGATGGTAAAAGTACAAATTAGTTGCATAAAATAACCCTTTTTTCTTACCTGAATACGAAATGGTTCCGATCACAGACCTCTCGCTAGGAGGCGCCCAGTGTCCCAGCAAGTTGTGAAGCAAAGAGGGTATACATCCTTGCGCTAATCCTTGGAAGAACCTCGATATTATGACGCCCACCGAGCCGCAGTATTCCGCGAAGAGCGGTATCAAAATGCAGAACCCGGCGTTGGTCATGGTGCACCCAACCAGAAGCCATTTCACGCCGAACCTCTTGCCTAGCTGAGCCGACGGGAGTTGCAGAACGGCGTATCCCCAGAAGAAGGCCGACAGTACCACGCTTTGGTTGTCCCAGTGGTATATCTAAAATAAATTCTTAACAGTATAGTTAAACTGTTCCCATAGAAATATAAAAGGTGAAGGTCTTGTGTTTTTATAATAAGCTAAAATATTAGTACAAAATTCAAACGCGACAAGCAGGACGATTTTCACGTCACACCGTTCTATCGACATCGACACGTCACATGTTGATGTTGCATTCGCATTTACTAACCTATATATCATTTCTTTTATGCTAGTAAGCAGTATTTTGCGGTTTCTGTAAACTTTATTAATTAACAATAATGTTGAAGAAAGAATTATAATATCCCAAATGGACAATTTGTGGATAATATGAGGGTCGCCAATTACTGCTTTGATCTTAAGAAAGTTCAGTCATTGAAGCTGAAAATCAGCTGTAACCTCCGAATTCTTTGAAACTGCATGGATTTGCATGAAAATTTAGAATAAGGCCCATCTTGGGCTCAAGTTCAAAAGTGACACAAGCCCGATTGACGCTTTTTGTTTTTTAGGGGTAAAAACTACCCCTAAGTGAAAAAAATTAAGTTTTAAGCATTTTATTGATAAAAATCTTGTTCAAGCACAAAAATTAAATAATGTTCTATGTTCTCGAACATGTTTTATGATATATTTGATCTTTTCGACCCTTCATTTAACCCTTAAAAACTACCCCTATGCAAAAAATAATGATAACAAATTACTTTTTAAAGACTTAGAATGATTAAATTGTGCAATTATTTAAAATAAAAGTTACCTTATAGCTAATAAAAAAAATGTTCCCTTTCAACCCCTAAAAACCACCCCTGTATTGGCAAAAATTATAAAAAATTACTTTTTAAAACCTTGGAATGCTTTAACGGTGCAATTATTTAAAATAAAAATTCCCTCATTGCTTATGAAAGAATTTGTATCTCATAACACTCTTCAACCCATATAAATCATCCTTGTGCTAAAAAAAATGATAAAAAATTACGTTTTAAATCTTGGATTGCAATAATTGTGCAATAATTTAAAATAAAAATTCCCTTATATTGTTTATGAAAGAATATTTTACTGTTGCCATTTTCAACTCTTATAAACTACCCATTTACCCATATTAATGTAAAATATTTTTATTATAATCGATTTTTAAATATAATCTATCAAAAAAAATTGCTACGCCAATAATCACACTAAATTTTTTTACTTATTTTTGTATAATATAATATAGGTATAAATATATAAAAATGAGAAAGCCTATTTTGCTCCGAAAAAATGTCATTGGTTTTTTTACCATAACTCGGTTAAATTTGAAGCTATAGTATCCTACAGAAAAGTATTTTAAAGATAATTTCAAGAGTTGTAAGATCGTTTGCATATAAAACCTTTTAAGTCCTTCATTTTTTAAAGGGAATGGATGGAAGGGCTCGAGACAGGTCGTTTTTTCACTAAAATGGATACTTCAACCGGTGATATCTCCTTTATTTTTTATGCTATAGGAATAAAAAAGCAAAATATTTGTTGAAAAAAAGCTACATATTTGTTGTCTATCATTTTTTACGTATATTTCATAGTTTCAGAGTTATTATATAGGTAAGGCAATTTTTTTTGAATAATGGAAAATACGTTTTCAACTTTTACCGTGCATTATTCAAAAAATACGCATTCTAAACCGGTCTAACTTCAGGATCGTATGAAAAACACTAAATCTAAACTAATTGTAAATGGTCTACGATTAATTTTAATTCTGATGGAAATGGTACCGCGTTTACTGCTCATTTTTCCTTAAAAAATATGAGCAACCCATCTGTTTTTGACGATAACTCCTTCAATTTTGCTCTAATTAACTTTTATAAGTGCTCATTTTGAAGGTCTTTTTGAGTACTACAAAAAACTGCAGGAGCGTTATACACGTAAAATTAATCTTTTTTTCGTTATTTGACGTTGAATACATCGATTCGAGCATTCCCCCCAAAACAAGTCCCCTTCCACTAACCATATTTCGCTTTGTATAGGACGTACAACACTTTAAAAATCGATTTTCTTTGTTTATTTATAAGCTACATTTTTGTTCATTACACTTTTTTAAATAAATTGCGTAGTTTTTGGGTTATTCGCGAAAAATACTTTGAGACAGTGTTTTTTTTTCACTCAAATTCTTGAGTGAATAACTAAAAAACTATTGATTTCTCGAAAAAATTCTTCGAATATTTTTTGCTCAAAATTTGATTCTCTATCGATTTCCAGCATTATTTTTGAAAAAAATTCCACCCCCAACAGGCTGGAAGCGTCAATCGGCGCTATGTCACTATTGTTCCGTGACTTTTTCTCTAACTATCTGCCAAATTTCAAGTAGATCTGTTCAGTTTCAAATATTTCGGAGGTGAAAAGCTTCAATGAGTGTACTATGAGTAAAAACAAATAGGTAAACACCTGTTTTCTTAGTTTTACTTTAATATGTAACAACCAAACTATTTTATTTAATTAATTAGTTTTTATTTAAAAAAATTCCTAGCTTTCAGTTCTATGATTCAGCAGCAAATCGATAGCTACATATTTAATATATGATTTCAGTTTTTCAAAGTAATTTTTTTTATCTTCAAAAAATGTAAAAGTTTTTTAAAATTGAAAACCAAGAGTATAGAATGAGCACATATGGAAATATTTATTGGACCGGCGGCTTGCAATGCTTATGTTAGATTAGGTTAGGATATGACACAACTTACCACGCACGGTGTGACGTCACAGTTCTCCCGCGGAAACGGTTGTACTTTTAAATGATGTTACGGTAACCAACACTTTTATAATTAATACACAAATAATGATGTACAAATTGGGAGATGTTCATATGCTGGTCTACGGACTATTATCATTATTTTTAAAAAATGCGCAAGTTGCTTCGCCATATCGGTTAAAAAGTTAAATAAAGCGATATACATACCGGTATGTCGGGGTTAGGGGTTGTAGAGTTGCTGTTCATAGCCACAATGGCGACAGAGAGTACAGATCGCATACAGTAGGTGTAAGTCATAAGTAAAAAGTACAGCGCCATCTGCACGTGGCGGTATCCAAGTTTTTGCCCTAAAATGACAGAAATTAAACACTACAGAAACAAATTTAGTCGACACAATGATTATACAATTTTCCAAAGTTGTTTTCTACCTTTTAGTCTATTTAACAAAACAAGAGCTGTAGTAAACAATCACTGCCTTGAACAGATAATAATACTGTTTTGTTTGTGTGAACTTGTCTGAAAGCGTGAAATTTTTACTTGGAGTTATCTTGTATAAAAATGTTAGTCCAAACACCTAAAATATTTCTTAATATCGCATGAGCTTACCGGTTGCGTGTAGGTCTTGGTCCGCCTCGCCGTTTCGGCAGCACAACAAACTCAACACATCCATTTTACAATACGAACTGCGACAGGTATTCGCATTTTAATAAATTGTCGCTTGTAATCCAACACGCACTAAACTTAATAAATAGATAAACGCTCAGACATAGCCCGGTAGGTACGATAAGATTCCGATTACGTTCATTACAATGCCCACGACTGCGAGTTATGAACGATTGTTACTTTTGAGAATTATCAAACAACACTAAATAGACAGTTACGAATATTTATCTACCCGCAAATATTCATAACATTTTAATTCAGTGGTTTCTTGTTTTTAAATTCAACAATAAATCGGACTTTGTTTCGCGCAAACAAGGTTCCGTGAATATTTAACGTGTCTCGTTGAAGGTTATGAGCTAAATTGTTGTAATTCAACAAATAATTGTGTATACATGTTATTGTTGTTGTTACTTAGCATAAAATGTGTTCCAAACGAAAATATTATCGCTGTGTAACATTGATTGGGAGACTTTTATGTTTTTAATGTAAAATTGTATGGTTTAAATGAAATATACAGGGGGTTTTGTTACGAATGTTTTGTTACCTAGAGTCAGAACAGCTCGATCTAACGCAACTTGTCTTATTGTTAGTGCAAAATACAGGGTGTTCCAATTAAATGAGGAGCTTCGTCGGCGAATAGGCATCTTGCAGAAAAAAATATTTTAATAGTTTTTGTATCTACACTGAATACTACAAACGATGTGTAAAGGTTTTGTTATATTAATTTATTTTTTAATTTAATTAATTTAATCGGTTCGCTTCGCGCGCAAACGCCATGGACTGGGATGTCGATACGTTGACGTCATCGGTAAGTAAATGGCAAGCGCGACATATACAATAACGCGTTTCGACAGTGCAGCTGACTGCTTTGGTTATTAAATGTGTGGAGTGGTGTCAATAAGCAGTATGATACCTTATACAGGGTGATTCAGTCATAATGTCATTAATTTTAAGAGCAGATAGAGAAAAATGAGTATAATACGATGGCGTGATTAAAAAAAAATTTAAATGCATATTTAAGCTGAAAAAAAATATTTTCAAATCATTATTTAACCCCCTTTTCAGGCTGTTACTGACCGGCTGACGTCACAATATTATGCACGGCTACGATATGAACCTATGAACAACGCGCCCTAGATGCAACGTTGCCATATTTATATATTTTCGCTCATATAAAGACAATAAATAAACGGTTTTGCTCACGTCAGCCAATAATAATTTAAAATGCTATAAATTATTTTTTATTTATGCAATCAACATATTAAATTGTTATTGTTGCCCAGCAAGAACCTCGAGGTCTGAGCATGCCTTGCCAAAAATCAGTTTTTATTAGCATCATAATTTTAATATTTTAACAACATTTGCTGTAAGCCCGAAGGGGAAGGTTTTCAAACAATTCTACTAAAAATTAGTAACGCGGCCCATTCAGATGTTCAGGTAGAAAATGCGGCCCAATTAAACGATCGCCATTGACATTGACACCGAATCTCCTCTGAAAGCTATACCACCGACGAGTAGTGTGCGGGTAGTAGTGTGTTTCATCTGACCAAATGTGACTATTATGGCTGCAAAGAAATTAGCTGTTTCACTTTAAATAAGATTTAATATTGAAGTTACAAAACCCCAAAAGTTCAAATAATTTAAATTTCATTTCATAACCATTTCAATTTCGTTACAGAAATAATGTCATAAAAAACCAACACTCACTAGATAAATTATAAAGAGAGGATAAATTGTATGCAGTATTTAAATATTGACTGCAATTAGAAGAGAGACTTGTATATTCCATAAAAAAACAATGGGACGGAGACAAATAAACAACTCGGTACGTCGTGTTTCCGACCTAGGGTAACCTGTGGTTCAGTAACCTTTTAACCCAGTTTTAATTTGCACACGTGCACCATATAGTCCAGGAGCCCGATGTGCAAACAACTTATTCTTAAATATTTGACCTCTTGAATCCAAAGAAACTTGGTCGCAAAGCCTGAAAGTGGTCAGTTTAATTGTTATCAACAAATTAAATGTTTAAATGGCTGTAAAAAGTTTATTTTTATAGCTAGTACAATTTATTCGCTAATAGTTACGTTTTCTCATAACAAATATGTATTTTTTTGGAAATTAAAAAAAATTAACTTTAACCAAAGTTATTGCAAATTTAGTGCAAATTTCTTACATTTTCCGTCTCCGTGCGCACTAATTTTACCATATCTGGTTCTAAGTTCCATTTATTTATTAATTTATTTAATAATTAATGGCATCTTAGAAAGTTGTGAAATTTCAACGAAAATGCCGGTTTTAATTGTTTATAAGGTTTTTTTTATTATTCAACTTCGACGAAAAGCCAAAAAAGTTACCGGATATTGTTCTTTGCATTCTAACAATCAAGCAAGGCATGAAATCATTGTTAGGATGCGAGGAACAATAACCGGTAACTTTTTTGGCTTTTCATAAAAATTGAATAACAAAAAAAGTTTTATAAACCAATAAAGCCAACATTTTCGTTGAAATTCCACAACTTTCTAAGCTGCCATTAATTTTTAAATAAATTAATTAATCAATGGAACTTACCTATCTTGTAAAATAAAGTTTAAGTTTTAAAATGAGATGTGCGTCTCAATCCGTCCAATTGAACCAGAGATATGGTAAAATTGGTGCGCGCAGAGACGGAAAATGTAATATATTTGCACTAAATTTGCAATAACTTTGGTTAAAGTTAATCTTTTTTTAATTTTCAAAAAAATATATGTTTGTTGTGAGAAAACGTAATAATTAACAGATAAAAAATTGTACTAGCTATAAAAATAAACTTTTTACAGCCATTTAAACATTCAATTTGTTAACAACAATTAAACTGACCACTTTCAGGCTTTGCCACCAAGTTTTTTGGTTTCGAGAAGTCAAAATACTTAAAAATAAGTTATTTGCAGCCGTGGAATTCTGTTTGGCTACGGAAACCTATCTGGCCCCTAGCCCCTAGACTAATACGAGTGTAGTAGCAAAAAGTTGTCGGTCTTTTATCAAAGGAAAATCGTATCAACAAATTTAATTTAAAATCTAAAATACCGGCTATGTTTTCGTAGTAGCTGTAGTCGCCCAGGTGCATCGAGTGTACGAAGTGGTCGGTTATATGTCAAATACTAACCTGGCGAGCTTGAACCTGAACTTGGCAACGCTGTTCCTTTAGCCGACAACTGTTCGTGACATTACGTTACAAAATTTTCCGAGCATCCGGGCATCGGCAGGGCAGCCCTCGTAGCGGGAGTTATGGGTTGATTTCCTTCATTTTTAAAAGTCGAGTAAAAATTTTTTTTTCCGATTTTCTGTCTTGATTAAGCCTTCCGAATACGTGGTTAAAATTAATGACATTATGACTGAATCACCCTGTATACACTGTAAATTTGTGAAGTTAAACTTATGAAAATTTTTCTATGGGCATAAAAAAACGTGGGCTTAACTTTTGGCGGCACAATATGTTAAAAAAAAATCGAAAAATGTCATATTTTTCTTCCTAATTAATTATGTATCTTTTCAAGAGTTCATTTTAGGCGAAAATGGAAGAGGAAAAAAATGTTTGTAATTAAATTTTTTACAAAATATGACTAGTTACAAATAGAATGAATCATGATTATTTTTGTAAAAATCGAAAAAATCGCCAAATATGGGGTTAAAAAACATTACCGTTTAGGGAATTTTTTTGAGGTCTTTAAATTGGGTTGGGAATTTCATACTTGGCTCAAGAAAACTTCATGTTATGTAGAATCATCACACCAAATTTCATCAAAGTCGGTTAGATAGATTCTGCATAATAATTTTGCAATCCAGATTTTGAAAAAAAAATTTGCAAATATTCAAAATTTTTCAGAGCAAAAACCAAGGCCCTTAGATACTTGAAAATTTAATCATTTATAGAAGGGCTCTCAAGCTTTCAAACGCTTTTTGAAAAATTCGAATCCATCAATTAGGAGAGCATAGAAAAATTTTCATTTCTAGTGATATTTGAAAGCCAAAAAGCCAAAAATCTCCGTAGATGTACGATTCACCCATTGTACCGATGTGTGAAAATACATCAGTAAAAACGCCAGAAAAAATGTATTTTAAAATAAATTTATGTGGATATCTATAAATCACATTTTCATAACTGTTTGCTTTTATTCCCCTTATTTCTGCCGAATAAAATAAAATGCTTTTCGAAAAAACTCCACAATCATCATTCGGTAAATTATCTGAGTGGGCTTTAGCATAACCTTGTTCGGTCATGTTACAAATATTCTTAAGAATTTTTAAAAAACTAAAAACTAATCATGATTATTTAAAATAACAAATTTAGATTCAAAATATTATTTAGGTAGTAAATAATATTATGCTACCCGAGGAAAGCTCACTTGAACTAAACGTCGAAAAAATTAAATATTATACCTACACAGACTTAATTATTTTGCTACATAGGTGCATATTTAGGTATATCTACATAATAGAATGGAAACCAGTTAATAAATAAAACAGCACATCAGTATCGTTATCGTATCGTATGTAAACTAAAAATAATAAATGTTTTTAAGAAGTAATAGGACATCGTTTTCTAATGTACGTCGCACCAATAGCAACTCGTTCTACGACACGCCCCTACAGGATGCTCATCTCCAAATTTCAACGTACGATTTAGTCAATTTTCGAGTAGAAGAATTTTTCACAAAATATTTTATAATTAATAATTTTAAATAAGGCTATATTTAAATATGTGAATTAATATAAAAAATCCAACATGTGCAAGGGGCCTATTGTTGAAGAATGTCGTCAGACAATGCCCGAAAAGCTTTAAAACGAGATGTCACTCAACATAGGGTGCTATTTAAAGTTTAAGGGTATTTTACGCTCCTGTTGGCCTAAGGAGTAGTTTCCAAGACACCAAAACTTACGCCATCACATGTCCCCCTTGAAAAGAAAATCGACGTGTCTCAGTTTCTTTTTTGTTTTTTAATTCCGATATTTTCCAGATGGAAAGTTTTAATTGGAACACCCTGTATAACAAACATACAGGTGGTCAAAGATGAAAAGAAAATCGTGTTTTCTCAATATTTTTCGACGCAGCAGATATTTGGGCCAAATTTACTATACGGCGGTTTATCTTGATGCGGAATTAAAATTTGATTATTTTCGTTGTTCAATGTTTCTCATAAATTATCCCTGGGATATCTTACTACTACTTTTTTCTGTCTACTCAGGCAATAAGACAAACTCGGTAAAAGCTTGGAAACTGACATTCGCCGTACATCGTTGTCATTGCATTTGGCTTAGGGCAAAAAGCAACAACAAGTACCTCCAATTTGCTCTTCCTACTTTGCCTTTCGTCTTTCGTTAGCATAATCCCTTTAAAAAATCTGTTGGCGTCACATCTTAAACAAGGCGAAAACCTCGCATTCGTGGGAGAAATTTTCCGACTCGATTTTTTGCATATTCAGATTCGTGAGATGTTCCTTATCATGAATGAAGATGATGCCGGCCGGAAATCTGGTGCCTGTTTGTTTAAACAAACTTTTTTTAAACAAATTGTAAACATTGTTTTTTTCACTTCGGAAGAAGATTTTTTGGCACATTATAAACAAAAAAGTTCCTATTCACTATGCCTCTTAAATTGATAGCTTTAAAGTTATAAACAATTTAAGTTGCTAAAAATGCGAAAATGATTAATTTTCAACGGCCGATTTCCGGGTTAAAAATTGTTATTTTTGATGTTGCCAGGTACCTAAATTAAAGTTTAAACACCCCCCTACAAGATGCCGAAGAGTTTTTGGGCCTCGCTTTATTCTAAAGCCTTGTTTTTTAATTGTTAATAAAGCGCTTCCGGCCGGCATCATCTTATTCATGATAAGGAACATCTCTCGAATCTGAATATGCAAAAAAATCGAGTCGGAAAATTTCTCCCACGAATTCGAGGTTTTCGCCTTGTCTATCTAGGGAACGAAATGGACATTCATCCTCATTTTTTTTAAATTTCCATTCTCATTTCTTCACGGATTGAAACAATGAATAAGTAATTGTTAAAATAAAAACATTTATTATTAAAATACACTATATACAACAATTCAACGCGACAGAAATTGACTATATACAAAATATTCACACTTGGGCTGAGTATTTACGCAACATTTCTTTTCATCACGCTTTCGTGCAGTCTTTATCGTCCTTTTCCTTCGCCTCATTCCACGACTGGACCTCGCCGGAACCGAAAACGACGTAGAAAATATCCGTTGCCGCGTAGACGCAGGCCGCTGTGACGAATATGGTCCTCCACATCGATTGGTTCGTCTGAAAAAGCAAACCTATCAACGCTGAACCCAAGAATATTAAAAATCGCCTAAAAATGTTATACATCCGAGTGCCACAACAATCAATAACAGTTAGTTAAAATGTTATTCAGTTTATATCGATTTTAAATTAATGTCAATCATTAAAAAAACATATTCATTTGAAAACTATCATAAATAAATTTTCTTAAATATGCTGAAATTTACAATCTGGCAACGCTTTACCATTTCACACTGTGGCGTCATTGCAAACTTATCCTAAACAGACTGTACACAATCAAAATTAATAATTGCCATTAGTGCAGAAAAGGTTGAACACCCTGTATATCTAACTAGTGGCTCGTTGTTATTTTTACCTGATCGGTGACAATGTACTGGACGATAAGGGGCGATATGATGGAAAAAATACTGGTGGATCCGTTGGATAGACCCATGAGGACGCCAGAATGGTTGGGCGACAGGTCCATGTGGTTTACTTGAAAACTGCAGAAACCTCCGGCGCTGAGGCCGCCCGTTAGGATCAGGAGGGTCACCGCAATTCCTGCTTCGTCCTGAGGGATGAATCCCACAAGGGTGAGACTCACAGCGGGGCAAAGGGTGCCTGGAATGAATGACATTCGTTAATGGGGTGTATTTAAAAATGGGAGGACACAGGGAAACAAACAAGGGTGTTGGTTCCACTTAATTTGTTTATTTTCTGCATATAGCATATACAGGGTGTATCTAAATAACACCGAAAAAATTCAAGGGGCGATTCTCCGATGAAAATTAATAGGGGTCTTTGGTATAAAATTTTTTGAAAAAACCCTTCCCTGAAAAGTTACGCCCCTCCTAAAATTACAAAAAAAAATTGTTTTTCTTTTTTATCTTCCATGTACATCAAGCTAAAGAAACCAAACTTGGTGAACATTATCTGTCAATAAAACTACACTTTTTGAATTTTTTTCAACCCTGAACTATTTTTGTAAGGGGTTGAAATAATCAACCCCTATGACATTTTTTCTTATAATTTTTTTTTCGATAAAATTTTTTCCTTTTAAAAAATATGTCTAAAAAACCCCATTCATTTACTAACTTTTTGATCTCTTCAAGTTTCTTCGAAAAGTTAAGGATTTATGACAAAAAAAAAAAAATGTATTGTAATGTATTTTTAAAAAGATGAGCTGTTTAACGCGAGTGTATTTTGCCGAAAGATCTAGTGGCCTGTTCTTTACAATGGAATCCGTAGAAACAAATGTCAATGTCATTTATTGTTACTGTTTCTTACTATTTCACAAGTTTCATGATTTTGTGTAGAAAATATTAGTTAATAAACCGAAAATATGGTTAACTATTCGAATTTAGAAATGGCAGATATGCATTTTACATATGGGTATGCTAACGGTAATGCATTGGAAGCGCAAAGACTTTATGCTGAACAGTACCCAGAGCGTAGATTACCCCACCATACTACGTTCACAAATATTCACCAACGCTTGCGGGAACTTGGAAAATTTGAAAAGAGAAGTCATGACTGTGGCCGTAGCCGAGAAGTTAGAACTGAAGCTGTCGATGAAGCCGTACTTAATTTAATTGAGGAATCCCCAGAAACTAGTACCAGGAAAATAGCTCGTGTCCTAAATGTAAGCCATTCGGTAGTTTTTAGAATTTTAAAAGAACAACAGTTATATCCCTATCATCTCCAACGGGTGCAGTCGTTACTGATTCGAGATTTTTTACCACGTGTGGTTTTTTGTCAATGGCTTATTAATATGATCGGCCAAGCGCCGCAGTTCTTAAGAAATATTTTATTTACTGACGAGGCGAATTTCTCAAGAGACTGTATTAGAAATTTTCGTAACAATCATATTTGGGCTGAGGAAAATCCTCATGACTTTTTTGAAGGAAATCATCAGTATCAATTTTCATTAAATGTGTGGCTCGGAATTATCGACGATCATTTAATTGGTCCCTATTTTCTTCCACGACGATTAGATGGTGACTCATATTGTCATCTTCTCGAAGAATTACCTATTATTCTTGAAGAAGTTCCCATTCAAATTAGGCAACGTTTATGGTTTATGCACGACGGTGCACCAGCCCACTTTAGTATACGTGCAAGACGTCACTTGGATGAGGTGTATGCCAATCGATGGATAGGTCGAGGAGGATATGTAAATTGGCCAGCCCGCTCCCCTGACCTTAATCCTTTGGATTTTTGCATATGGGGATATCTGAAATCTTTGATCTACTCAAGGCCAGTTGAAGATATCAATGATTTGCGAAACCGCATTGTAGCAGGGTGTGAAACGATAAAAAATTCACCAGGAATATTTGAACGCATACGCAATTCTATGAGAACAAGAGTAGATGCTTGTATTGAAGCTGAAGGCAATCATTTTCAACATTTTTTGTAGATTGTATTGTCAATATCCGACAGATTTTTATTTTTTGTTACTGTTATAACATTATTCATCATTTGTTCACTTTTAGTCTAAGTTCCAAACTTCTTAGCCTAGTAGAATCATAGGTCAACTATTTGGTTGAGTGTTTTTTAATAAAATGTTATTTAATATGACAATAAATGACATTGACATTTGTTTCTACGGATTCCATTGTAAAGAACAGGCCACTAGATCTTTCGGCAAAATACACTCGCGTTAAACAGCTCATCTTTTTAAAAATACATTACAATACATTTATTTTTTTTTGTCATAAATCCTTAACTTTTCGAAGAAACTTGAAGAGATCAAAAAGTTAGTAAATGAATGGGGTTTTTTAGACATATTTTTTAAAAGGAAAAAATTTTATCGAAAAAAAAATTATAAGAAAAAATGTCATAGGGGTTGATTATTTCAACCCCTTACAAAAATAGTTCAGGGTTGAAAAAAATTCAAAAAGTGTAGTTTTATTGACAGATAATGTTCACCAAGTTTGGTTTCTTTAGCTTGATGTACGTGGAAGATAAAAAAGAAAAACAATTTTTTTTTGTAATTTTAGGAGGGGCGTAACTTTTCAGGGGAGGGTTTTTTCAAAAAATTTTATACCAAAGACCCCTATTAATTTTCATCGGAGAATCGCCCCTTGAATTTTTTCGGTGTTATTTAGATACACCCTGTATATTTCAATATATATTTTTTTATATTCTCTTAACTCTAATAGTTATTTGTTTAACTAGACACTAAGCACAAAATTTAATGCCGCGGCTGGTATTTAATAGACGAGGCGCAGCGAAATTATTGAATCGGCAAATAGAAATAAGAAGTGGATCTTATTTGTGGAAGGGCGAAATGGGCGGTGACTATTAGACGCCTTTATTATAGCCATCTTTCTCTATCGCACGGATTTCTATGACTTTCTTTATCGCTCTCACGTAACGGCCGATGAACCATGGGGACTTTCCGACCCTGTATATAGAGAATAGATGTAATATGTATGTAGTGTGAAAGCGTTTGCCTTATTTTTTAAGTTTAGTTATTGTTATCATCACCTTTTGTTTTAACTGTATTAAAGAATTATCGAGTTTAATCCTTTTATTTATTCTTAATGACATTTATGCACTTTAAACAACGAACATTCCTGAATGAATTTTTCTACTGTCATTCTGCTGAACAGTACCTAAGACATTATAACAATTTATACTGTGAAAGAAAACCGCATTGAATTTGTTCCATGAATTATAAGTACACATAGGTATAAGTATCTAGATACCATTTTCTTAATATTTAGAACAGTTAAGTTGGACAAAAGACACTTCAAATTTCGAGCCCTGAGGATGGTGTAAAATAACACCGAAACGTTGGCACTGGTTTAAAATATAGTGATATTTTATTTATTGATCTTTAACTCACTAAAACCTTGACTTGGATAACTAATCAAGATCGCTAAACAGTGGAAACTTATTTGTTACATTTTTTTAATCTGTGGCACGTAAATTGGAATTTAAACAGATAATTTGATTACTACACTACTTTTCAACTATTTCTTCTAAATAAACGTCACGAAACCTTGAATATAATTTTAAAATTAGCCGTATCAGATAACAAAGATAAGTAGTGAATCCGTTGCAATCTAGAACTGATCTCGTATAATGCATTAATGCGGCAGAAGGGCTGGCGTATTACTAATATTCACCTATACTGTTAAATATCTTCCTGGCGGCTCCTCTGGACAATATCTCCCTGTTGATCAGCATGTCGCAGATGGGGCTAAACATCAGAGAGCACATCATCATCATGACGTAAGGGGCGGCGGACAACAGGCTGTTCTGAAATTTAATGACTTAAAAACTGCCTCGGCGTTTCGGTTCACGTTCTTACTGATTTTATGTCGTATTTTAAAATCTTGTTGAGGTACGTGGGAGTTTGTGTCAGTAACACCGAACTACCCCAGTTGGCACCCATAAAAGCGAAAGTGACGGCCCAAAATGGCGGGGACGTTAAGATGGCCTTCCAAGGCGTGCGATGCACCTACAAAAAAATGTCATGTGTCGAGTGCACTGCACAGGATATTTCCCCAAAGTTTCCAAAATTAAATGAATTTGACATTTTTAATTTCGAAAACCCTATGAAACTGGAAATGGAGTGGAACAGGACGACGGATTTCAAATGATCGTGATATAGATGGTTGACTAACCTTGGAACTAAGTAACGCTATAATCACCGGAACCTCATAAACCCAAGAACCCCACAGCCCCATAACCGTATGAGAGTGGAAATGCAGTGAACAGATTTGGATTCCTTCGTCTTGTTCACTGCATTTCCGATCTAATTATCTTGGGAAGTCATTAGCCCAGTAAATGAAAAAAAACTGTACAAAAATTCGTTTCAGATTGAAACTTGATTTAATCGTTAGTTTAGGCAAAAAGAAATAATATTTCCAAAAAGTATCGGTTTAAAATAACAAGATCATTGTTCTAACAATGATTATATGTAAAAATGACCAAAAATGAAGTTTGTTAGCTGTATTATAACGCTAACAACCGCGTTTTTGCAACTGAAAAAATGCTATTTCTAATAAACAAATGAAAAAACTCGTAAACAAATAAATATTTTTTTACCAAATTTTCAGGGTTTCTTAAGCGCAACAAAATACAACTTTTACTGCAGTTTAGAGACGATTTATGCTCTTTTCTTCTATTTATAGTAAATTCAAATTTCGCTGGATTTTTGCAATTATTTAAACAAATTGTTAATGGTTTTTAATTTAGCAGGTCTCAAATGAAGCGTTTTTTGAAAACCTATAAGTATAAACAAAAGCAAAAACTCCTGTTGGAGAGAGCTTTTTAATACAGCTAAGAAACTCAATTTTTGATAATTTTTACATTATAATCATTGTTTATACACGTGATGAACTATAATATCGACTCAAATCGTAAATAGAGGATTTATAGGTGGAATAACCTTGAGGCGCACAATTCATTTTTATGCACTTTTGCACATCCCGCGCCCGGTAGATATCTCTAATGTTTTCAAAATAACAAACACTAGTTACGTTATGAGTAGCTCGTTATCTGAAATATTCGTATAATTTTTATTCAATTAATTACCGATCTGTATCTCTCAAATAGGTTATTGTGAAATGTGATTCAACTGGTACTTGTCAGTTGTTCAAGGTTACAAGCATCTATTGTTCAAAAAACATGTATATGCAAAGCTGTGACACTGATTTTGTTTTTATAAAAACAACACTTTTCCGATTTTATAAATTCATAGAACGTCTTTAACAAAACATTTAACTTTTTCTTTAACTTTAACCTTAATACCTTGTGTTCCTCGTGGCCTAGACTGCTCTCAATGTACATCTTCTCATATGAGGTTATAGTTTTGTGGCATCCTGGTCTATCGACACCGAATAGTATCCAAAGAATAACCCATTTCAACCCTAACGCTCCGAATAGGTAGAAAGCGACAGGCCAACCTACCCAAGTGGAACATATGAAGCCTGTCACTGGTAGTGACAGGATGTTTCCAAAAACAGAACCTGTGAAAATGGATAGTATAAAATTTTGAATATACAATTTTCCATATATTCTAACGTAGTAGATAAAAAGACTACTACTAGCCCGGTCAAAATAGACATTTCAAATAACGAAAATTCCGACAGAGCTAAATTTTGGTGGAGACCTTGGGTACACCATTAGAAATAAAGTGTCAAAAGTCCCCATCAATCCCATGTGTGCTAAAAAAGTTATTTGGGGTCAAAGGTCAAAATTTGAGGTTTTTGGATTTTTTTCGAAAACGGTAAGTTTTATCAAAAAAGTAACCCTGGCAAAAATTATAGATCTTAAAATTATCTACAAAAATGGTCCTTATACTTTTTTTTAAGAATCACCATTCCTGAGATATCGCGATTCTAATAGTTGAAGGAGTCACGTTCTATATGATATGCACACATTTCTACACCACCTGTGAGGTAGTGTACTTTGGAGCGTTTTTTAACGTGGTTTCCCCGGTAGGCCTACTCCACGAACTGTTATGACGGAATTTTCAGGGACAATACTGTTTTAACTGTATGATGATTATTGATATTGATATTGGTTATTGACTTTAACTGAAGTTCTGATTTCTTTTGATATTTTAATGTGATTCATACTCTTCAAAGTCGACTTCAACAGTCATGTCTTCTTCGATTTCTTCTTCTTCTTATTCATCTTCTTGCTGGATGTTCATAAATTGTTCAAATGAAGATGAATCAGCTGTCTCTTCATCGAAATCACATGAATCTTCGTCTGTTGTATTCAATTGGACATTTGAGCAAGACTGGCTTTGGCAATTAGTACACGCTGAAGAACACAGTAACCCTACTCTTCTACAGCCACATTTAGCACTACAACCTTTTTTGCAATTGCAAAAAATAGTGTTTAGGAGTTTTTCCAGAGCAGGTGGAAGTAAAGTTTGAATCGGTTCCAAAGTATTATCTGTTAATTTCCAACCCCAGTCTTCTAGGTTCAGTTGATTGCCTAATCATGTCTGAAGTTGATAGTATACTCGATACAAGTGTTGATTAGCAGAAGCTGATGTTGGAGGAAGACAAGATAGTTGTACTTGTTTCTTGTTTCGTGTATTTTTTACAGAAGTTAAATATCTATATTTATCTATACAATCAATTTTTTTTGGAGCTCCTTAACAGCAAGGAGAAAACGAATTCCTTTTGTGATTATTGTTTGACGTGAAGAATCAATTTCTGCAATCAATCAAATCTTTTTTTTCCAAATAATTTTAATACTGATGATTTACCCCTTCTGAACATTGCTGATGTAGTATCGCAGCCGATTATCGCATGTAAAAATAAGATATGGTTTTGGCATTTTGGATAAGCAGATAAACTTTTTGAAGAATATATTTATGTTCGCTGTTGAGCCTTTCCAGGTTTTAAAAAGTACATAATTTTATCAATTGGAGTCCTTGCAGTGAGTAGTATTAACAAATCAACATTTTCACCAACTACAATAGTTGTATTTGTTGCATTAAATTGTTCTATAGCTGTTTCAATTATAAGGACATCTGCGTCATTTTGTCAAAGGGACTGAGTTTCTTTTGAGTGTATATTCTCAGAATAGTATAGTTTATACATACAAGAGACACAAATAGGCATTTTTACATGTGTTAAGTGCCTGACTATGTATATACGTGGCATATATGTGCATATCATGTAGAACGCGACTCCTTTTAGAATCGCGATATCTCAGGAATGGTGGATCTTAGAAAAAAAAGTATAAGGACCAGTTTTGTAGATAATTTTCATATCTATAATTTTTGTCAGGGATACTTTTTTGATAAAACTTACTTACTTTCGAAAAAAATCCAAAAAACCTCAAATTTTGACCTTTGACCCCGAATAAGTTTTTTAGCACACATGGGATCGGTGGGGACTTTTGACACTTTATTTCTAATGGTGTACCCAAGGTCTCCACCAAAATTTAGCTCTGTCGGAATTTTCGTTATTTGACCACAATTTTTATGACTAATTTGACCGGACTATACGCTGTTGTTTCTAAATATAGTTTTACTCGATTTTTTTTTGTAAATAAAAAGTGATTGATTTTATATGTATACACGTGGATGTGAGATTTTTATTTGTTCCTGAACCTTGTTCATTCTGAATAACATTTACGCGTACATTATCTGACAGTATCTGGTGATAAAACTACAGTTAATGTATTATTTACTGCTTTACAAATATGAAATATTTGAAATAAGGTCATTGATCCTTTCTTATTCCTACAAGCGATATATGACCATAACATAAAATATGAAAATTAAAATCAATATTTCGTAAAAAGTCAAGGCAGCCTACCGATAAGAACATGCCATAAACAGATACTAACTTGATAAAAATCGAGAGAGATAAACGTTCAAGCTAACTGATTAATAGAAACTATGACACTGAAGGGGTTTGAATAAGATGAGAGACTAGCTACCTGCTTCTCAACAAAAATAAACGTATCGTAATCTGAAAATTTTTATTCAATTTACTGAAAATGATTGCGACTATTGGTTAACATTGATTGAATTGTACAGGGTGTCCCATTAAAGTCGGTGAGGTACGATGTTAGAGAAAGTATAGGTCCTACAGCTTCGGGAAAAAAATTTTGATTAATAAATCGACCAAGAGAAATCGCTGAAAATAGTTCTCAAGTTCGTAGCTCGGCCGCTAGGGGGCGCAATCTACGTACCAAAACATAGAGCTGAATTTTTCTCAGAAATGTTTCCTATTCAGGTATATTAAATAGTACAAATATGGATAGCCGAATTTATTGCGCATAACTTTTGTTATTGACATTATGTTCTGTCTCTCGACAGAAAGGGTGGGGGAAGCCCCTAATGTCTGATCAGAAAAATGTATTTTTTGGCTCATCAAAAGCCCATAGTGCTATACCTCGTTGGAAAGGTCTTTTCATGCTTTATCTCGTGGTAAAAGTCATTTACCTCAATATGGAAACTTATAATGCCGTTTTATGGATTTTTCTCAAAAGTTTTAAATGCAGTGCTATAGTTTCCTCTACATAAATGAATTTAGCACAAACAATTGATGAATATAGTATAAGTTTGAAATTTGTAACTAGAGTGTTGTTTATTTATTGGTGCTATTTATCCAAGTTTAAGTTGTTTCACGTTTTTTTTAAAGAGCAGGATAAAATTTTTGATAGATTTGTTCGAAGAGCATAAAAATAGCTACATTTTAACGCCAAAAAGGGTTCGATATCTTTTTTTGTTATCAAATTATTCGCGAATTAGGGAGCAAAAAATAAATATTGATAATGAATTGAGGAACACGACGGTAACGAAAAGACATTTAATTACCGAAGCAAATGCGTTTATAAAGGAACGGTATAAAATATCGGTACAACGGAATTAAGTTAATTAACTATATCCATATTATCCTTCACCTCCTTCGGTGCACCTCCACATGATGCCCAAACAAACATAAATTATTTGAATGCTACATTTGAAGACGGCTGGATTGGTACAAGAGGACCCATACATTGGCCACCACGAACCCCAGATATTAATCCATTGTATTTCTTTTAGGTCTGTTAACCGTGTCAGTCGAGGATTGTCCTTTTATTGTGTTTTTACCAATAGTTTTGCATCAGCACGTCCTTGATCACTGTTTACCCGATCGTGGCATTCCGTACCAATTTTTTTAGCTTTTCAAAATAAACAAAACCAGTACCTGCGTAGGAAAACGTCCCTATGACGGACCTCTCGCAGGGTGGCGCCCAATACCCCAACAGCGTATGGAGCAGCGGCGAAATGCAGCCCTGCGACAATCCCTGGAAGAACCTGCAGACCATCACCCCTGTAGCGCCGAAATATTCGGCGATCACTGGGATCGATAAGCAGGCCACGGAGTCCACCGTTATGCAGCACACCAACATCCACTTGGCCCCGAACTTCTTACCGAGCTGGCCGGCGGGGATCTGCAGCATCACGTAGCCCCAGAAGAAGGCGGACAGAACCACGCTCTGGTTGTCCCAGTTGTAGGTCTGGAAACGTACGTGGTGTACATTATGTTCAATCGCGCAAACTTGCGGTTAAGTCGGGGCGAAAAACTGGAAGTGTACGGAACGCTTTAAGTCATTTCGAAATATACTTACGGGCACGTTGCTGTTAATAGATGTACTGTTGTCGTTCATAGCCACTATTGCCACGGATAATACTGTTCGCATGCAGTAGGTGTAGGTCATCAGTAAGAAATATAGTATCATTTGGAAGTGTCTGCAACCAAAGGTGGGCCCTGGAAGTTAAAATTTAATTTAGAAACGATTTTGCTTCAGTGTGTGTGACATTTGAGGATTACTTTATGTCGTTATGATTCTGTAAAATTGATTGTTATACAGGGTGTATACTTACGCGAGGGTCAGTTTCTTTCGGATAATAGTACCTATGTGTTACCCTGAATACGAATCTGATTTTTTTATCATAGAAATAGTCGAGTTGTAGTATTTTTTTAAACTGCTCTTTAATTCCTATTTACGTTGCTACCGGAATTAGCATGGTAATTTTTATCACAGCACTGCCAGCGTTGTCAGTTGTATTCCAGGAAAATAAGGAGAAAATGAAATTTTTACTCTAAGGTTTTTTTATAGAAAAGTGTAGGTTCTGAGGTCAGGAAACATGTGTCACACACGCAATAACCAGCAACATACAGAGTTTTGAGATATAGACATGAATTTCGCGTTTTTTGACCAAAAACTGCCAATATCTCAATGAAGATGCATGTTTTCGAAAAAAGTTTCAAATAAAAGTTGTTCAAAATTAAATTTCCTACAAAATTGCTCCTACGAAAAATTTCGATTTTTCCAATAGTTTTTCCGTATATGTTTTAAATGAAGTACTGATTATGTTGAAATTATGTTTTGGAGCCAAAATAACGGTCAATTTATTTTTAAATAACAAAAATTTGAGAAAAGAAAATTGCTGAAAATTTTTGGAAAATCTTACATAGTTTTCCGAGGTTTGAATATTTATGAGCATCAAACATATCATTTTATGGGTTTTTAAGAGTGTACAGGGTGGGCAAATAAGCGAGGTAAGCGGCTGTATCTCAGAAACTAGTGATCGTAGAGAGCTACGGTAAAAAATTTTATAGGTAAAGTGGGCAAGGGAAAATGCTGGAAATTATTTTCAAGTTTCCAAGATGGCCGCCAGTGGGCGTTTCCACCATCTTGAATTACATAAAGTTACGTTTCTCGCGATTTTCCCCAATGAATGTAACAAAAAAGTATTTGCGTTTTAATGTTAACTTAAAGTCGAACATTTTTTGTAAAAACAATTTTTCTCTATCTTTCGAAATAAAGTGGTGGGGGGTATTTGAATGTTGTTTTAAATAAATGCCTGTAACTTCGAAACGGCTTAATGGATTTGGATAAATTTGGTATCATTGAAAAGAGCATTTCTTGGGCTTTTAGGTTTCTCGTAATCATGACAGTTGCGACCTACACGGCCGCCGATAGAGGGCGTTATTCGATATTATAACCAAAATATTGGATTTTCTCAAAAAATTTAAATGCGATGATATGACTTTTTTTAGACTAGAAAATAGACAAATGACCAACCAATAAGCCTGCGCAAACCGCATCTTAATATCTTTTTCCTAACTCAAATTATTAAAAAAAAATACTAAACCAGGAAAATTCATATATCCCCATTTAAAAATGCATCGGTTGCTTTCGATAAGAAGGCAAGTAGTAGGCCATGGAAATAAAAGACAAACTCCTCTCTAAAATATTCACAAGAAATGTCAGTTTATTTAGTGCTGTGATTTTAAGTCGCACGTTTTCGTATTTATAAGCGATTTTCCTTTTAAATAAAGTTGTGGTCCTGAAAAGGACCGATTTTGAAAAAAGATTAATGCCTTCTGTGTTCAAATTGCCTTCCGTCATATTCCACACATTGTTCCAGTCTTTCTTGAGTCGACAGAACCGCAGCCTCGATTTCTACCGCTGATAGTTGACGAATTGAGTTTCGAATTCTGTTTTCCATATCCATTCGTGTTGTTGGTGGAGTTTGAAAAACAATGTCTTTTAAGCGTCCCCACAAGTAAAAATCAAGACATGTCAAGTCCGGAGATCTTGCCGGCCAAGGAAATAGGCTTCCCCTTCCTATCCAGCGTTCTCGAAAGGTCCCGTTAATATGGTTTCGGACATTAATTGAATAATGTGCCGGACAACCATCTAATTGCAGAAACATAGTTCTCCTAGTTTCGAGTGGCACATCTTCCAACAAAATTGGCAAGTCGTTGATCAAAAACTCTAAGAAGCGGTTACCAGTTAAAGCTTGATCAAAAAAATAAGGTCCAATAATTCTGTCCCCAATGATACCGCACCACACATTTAGGCTCCAGCGTCCCTGGTGCTGCACTTCTCTTAACCAATGCGGATTTTCAGCGGACCAATAATGCATATTATGACGGTTTACTCTACCATCACTACTAAAGGTAGCCTCGTCGGTCCAGAGAATTTCCGTTAAGAAATTTCTGTTTTCCTCAAGCATGCCTAGCATCCATTGACAATAATTTAATCTATTATCGAAATCTTGTTCATTTAGCGCCTGGTGCAAAACTATGTGGTAAGGATGTAATCTAAAAGTAAAAAACAACATATGCGTAAAAATAATATAATCAGAATAACACTGAATTGTGTATTTGAGAGTATGTGCTAAGATACTTGGAATAAGATAAAATTATTTACCTATAATCTTTCAAAATATTTCTAACAGTTGTTCGTGCTATTCCCAAGTCTAGAGACAATGTTCTAGTTCCTACATGTCTATCAAATTCTATGTAAGCCAAGACATTGATAATGTTTTCTTCGGTCCTTCCATTGCGACGCCTGCGACGTTTAGGACGACGAAAACTTCCAGTATCGCGTAATCGCTGTACCAAGCGCGGAAACATTCTTCTCCCGTAATGACGGCGATCTGGATACCGTGCCGCGTACTGTCTTGCAGCTATAGCTGCATTTTGAAAACACTCGAAATAAATCGCAATCATGTCAACGGCTTCATTATTTGTGAGAGGCATTTTGATTAAAAAGTACTCAAATTATACGCAATCAACAATATTAGGCTGCGTGTGACAAAAGTTTGACGTTACTTGGCAATATTTTTGTTAGGCGATTGTCGTGTCCATGGCCTACTACTTGCCTTCTTATCGAAAGCAACCGATGCATTTTTAAATGGGGATATATGAATTTTCCTGGTTTAGTATTTTTTTTAATAATTTGAGTTAGGAAAAAGATATTAAGATGCGGTTTGCGCAGGCTTATTGGTTGGTCATTTGTCTATTTTCTAGTCTAAAAAAAGTCATATCATCGCATTTAAATTTTTTGAGAAAATCCAATATTTTGGTTATAATATCGAATAACGCCCTCTATCGGCGGCCGTGTAGGTCGCAACTGTCATGATTACGAGAAACCTAAAAGCCCAAGAAATGCTCTTTTCAATGATACCAAATTTATCCAAATCCATTAAGCCGTTTCGAAGTTACAGGCATTTATTTAAAACAACATTCAAATACCCCCCACCACTTTATTTCGAAAGATAGAGAAAAATTGTTTTTACAAAAAATATTCGACTTTAAGTTAACATTAAAACGCAAATACTTTTTTGTTACATTCATTGGGGAAAATCGCGAGAAACGTAACTTTATGTAATTCAAGATGGTGGAAACGCCCACTGGCGGCCATCTTGGAAACTTGAAAATAATTTCCAGCATTTTCCCTTGCCCACTTTACCTATAAAATTTTTTACCGTAGCTCTCTACGATCATTAGTTTCTGAGATACAGCCGCTTACCTCGCTTATTTGCCCACCCTGTACATTACGACTTAATTATGCGCTTTTTAATATTTCCAGAAAAATATGTTTGAATAAAAATTTGTAATATAATGAAATTGAAAATTTAAATTTGATGACAATAGAAAGGGAATTTTCTGGAACTGCAAAAGAATAATAAAATATAAATTTATATCAATATAATTTTTCTTCATTTATTCATAATTAAAAAACAATTTTTTTATTTATTATTTTTAACAATTTTTTATGGGCTTCCATATCTACGTTTCTTGTGTAAAACTGCTTCATCGCTGTCGCAAAAAAATTCAAAGAAAATACATATTTCTGAAAAATATTAAAAAGTGCAAAATCAGTTCGAAATGTACGCTTCACTTTTATTTGTTTGTTTTGTTATTTAAAAATGAATTGACCATTACTTTGGCTCCAAAACATTATACATATTTTCACATCTGTACTTCTTTTAAAAAAAATACCGGAAAATTATTGGGAAAATTGAAATTTATCATAAGGACAATTTGGTAGGAAATTTAATTTTGAACGAGTTTTATTTGAAACATTATTTCGAAAACATCCGTCTTCATGGAGATATTGGCAGTTTTTGGTCAAAAAAACGCGAAAAATCATATACAGGTTTTTACAAATTCGCTTTTCACTACAGGGATCTCGGAAACAGTAAGAGATACGAAGTAGCTTAAATGGGGGCAAAGTTGCATAATCAGAGAACCAACATTATGCCTCTAAAAAATCAAGGCTTACATGATTAGTTTTCGAAATATTTGAAAAAAACCGAACTTTTGGAAATCCGTTTTTGTTTAATTTCAACCTTGTTTGAGGTGATATTGAAAAAAGAAGAACACTTTCTCGTGACAACCTTTTGCTCTCTCTCGAATGGCATAATCAATTTTTATATGTAACGTTTCGTCTCTCCAAGACCATCATCAACTTCATTTTTTTAAATACGAATCTGGAAATTTTATTAAATTTTTTGCAAGGCTTCTTGACCCCCAATACTGTACTGCTGCCTCAGCCGAACCAGATTCAGACGTTTTGTCTCGAAAAATTCATCTTCAGTGTATTCGTTCCAAATTTATGTAATTTTTTTATTTAGATTTCTTTATTTATTGAATTATCGTACACTATAAGTGTCGTTAGACCCTGTGAAATCCACCTAGTTATTTAAACTATTTATCTACCATCACACGTTACAATAAAACATTATTCTCCATCACTGGGTCATACCTGTAGGTACATAATTCGATAAGTTGTCCGTCAAAATTAAAACATTATTACAATTTTAATTGCATTATGACAAATTAATTCTTAAACATGCATATGAATAACCAAAACTCCAAATGAATATTATACTTTAAAAGATTACAGTAAATGTTGAAAAACGTTTCCGTTTTGGCAAATGCTTAAAATGAAGATAAGCTTAATATGATCGGAATTTATTATATCTGTAACCGCAACTGTGAAAGAGCATGTCAGATATTTGATATATTTGTATGAATATCCTGAAAAAAATTAGATGGAAATTTGTTTGAATTTGAGCACTCGAGAAACTCGAGAAATAATTATAATCGCGGGAAAACATTCCATTGTATTTAAAAAAGTAAGAGGTTTCAGTTAGTCACACTTTGGACTGAGATACGGGATTGGCCCTTATCGCAATGACTCAGAAATGTATAGAATAACAAAAGAAAGAACGGTTTATATTTTATCTCACAATAAACCAATATCCAAGATTTCTTCTTATATTTCCATTTATATATATATTTTTTTACATATTCCGCTAACTAAATTTTTACAACTTTGGGTATATTTCGATAATAAATAAATAAAACAAATAAATGTATGTTGCTAATCTTTATAATACATGACTAGCAATACTTTGTTTATAATAATCCTCTTCGATTTCCTTTTAATTTTGCAAAAGTCGTTTGTGATGTACAAGACCAGATAATAAAATGCGCAACTACAACATACTTTTTATCTGATAGTAATTGTCTCAGGCAATTTCATTTATTATTATTATTTTATTTCACAACTTCCCCTGTTAATTTCCCCTCCTGTAGACGTCTGGGTCGTATAAACAATAAACGGCTAAACGAGATTTATAGTTTTTAATTGTAATAACGTTAAATCGTAAGCGAAGGGATTAGTAACAATAAAAATCACAGTCGTAATTTTATAGTAAAAGCTTTAGATTACATCTTATATCCACTTTATTGTTGGGCGAAGATATGGTAATAAGTTCGACGCATTTAGTCAAATTTCAATTTAGTATTTATGTAACATAAACTAATCAGAAAAATTAAATGATAAAAAAAATCCTGAAGTTTTCGGTGATATTCAAAATCCTGTAGGTTACTTTTCGAACTTATCAGCTCTTTTAGTTTGATTCATCCTCTTTAATTCGAGCTTTGTACGATGATTCGTCGTTCAAAGCAAAAATGGCCTTTTTGGCTCTGATAATTAGTTACTCGGAAACGAACGATCGTAAAGAAAATCTGTAAACGTTCTTGTCGTTTTTTGATAAAAACATTTCTTCGATGCAACAAACTTGATTTAAAAAAAAATGAATAGACTAAGCTTACGGAGATGATGCTCTGGATCGTCGTCAGTCATCTGAAGATGGTCCTCGACCAGGAAAGCCTTCGACTTAACTGACGACTCCTACGTTAAAGAAAGTTAAAGATCTGGTGCGTGTAAATTGACTGTCAAAAGAGGTTAGCATCTCTGTTGATCCATGCCATGAAAATTTTACTGAAAAATTGCAGCATTTGTTCCTCGTTTGAAACTGAACAACAATAATAAAATCGTGTGCACTTTTGTCGACAATTCCTTGAACGATCTAATGACGATGAAACATTCATTCAAAGAATCATAACGGGAGACGAGAATTGGGTTTACGGTTACGACATTGACACAAAAAGAAACTAGAGTTGTGGCGATGACAATGCACCCGCACACTCAGCTTTGTCAATTCGTCAGAAGTTGTGGAAAAAAGTTATATTCAGAAGATTTTGAAAGAAAAGAAAAATATTTCCGTTCAAACCACACTTTAATCAAACATTGGAAGATGGAGATCAAGTGAAATGACTAGATTTTTGTTTGTGGGTAGAAGACAAAATTTTAAGAGGAAATATTGATTTTTATAAATTTATTGTGTTCTGATGAATGTACATTTTCTACTAATGGAACTGTGGCATCCCAGCATGACAGGTACTGGTCTCCAGAAAACCCTGAATTTAGAATAATGACCCGAAGACAATATTTTACAAAAGTGAATGTGTGGTGCGCGATATATGTCCATAGGATTATAGGCCCAAAATTTTACAATAACACCTGCAATAGAATATCGTACTTAGAAATGCTTAAATATTCACCAAAAAATATATTTTCAACAGGATGGTTGTCCAGAATGGCTTAATAGTATTGGCAAATATTAAGCCTTAGAGTCGACGACAAATACTGTAAAAAACAGCTACAATAGGCGACCGTACTTAAGAACGCATAAGCCGCCTTAGAACCAATAACAGATACTGCAATAAACAGTCACAATAGAAGACCGTAATTAAAAATCAGGTACTATTTTCAGTACTGGTAACTGACAGTACTGGCACACACATCAGTTCAGTTTATCTGAATTCGACTAGTGCACTTGCAAAGTTAACCAACAATAATCTGTACGCTCCCATAGTAACTACTTATTAAGTTTTACCAAATACATACTTCTACTAAGAACATCTTATTAGTTGCCCAACCACGCAACACATGGTCCAAGATGGATTGGTAGAATTAGTCCAATTTTGTGGCCCCTAGGGAACCCTGACTTAAACATGGCCGATATGTTTCTATTGTTACTCCAATACCAAATAATATTGAAATGCTAAAAGGCAGAATTACCCAGGCTGTCCGTTCAATATCCCAGGAAGAAATTAGAAATTCCTTCATATATATTAGATTAGACATTAGAAAAATGTGTTCAATATGAGGGTGGTGTTTTTGAAATTTAACATCTTCATCGTATTGCTTTATTTATTTATTTATCTTAATTGATGTTGTAATTATGTTCGTTTTATTTAAAAATTACTCTTGAATAGGACGTATTTGTTTTGTACTTTGTTCCCTGTATAAAAAATTATATTTTTGATAACGTGACTCTTGTTCATTTTTCAAGCAAGAATGCCTTTTTTCATATATTGTCAAAATAAAGAATGTTTACTCTTATACAAAGTAACATTTTTGTGTTTTTGCCCACCCTGTGCAACAAAATTGAAGTTCGTTATGGTATTCGTATTTTCTAAACAAGCAAAACATTTTATCAAGAATTTTTTCGTATCTTTCACTATTTGATACATTTTACATTTTGTACTCTACTGTATAAAGAGATAAGAAATAGTAATCATATTTAACAGTGTATCCAGATTCGTTGGTTGACTGGATTTGAATACTGTTTGCATTTTATTTCAACTTTAATTGATATAATTATAGTTTAAATAAAATTTGTTTGGGTTATAACTTATGACAAATTTTTTTCAATATCCCAAGGTAATTGGGAAATATTTGAAAGAACATTTTAAAAATAAAAAAAAAAACAGTAATGTGGTAACAGAAGCCCAAAATACTCAAATTGAAATACATTTTAGCAACATGAAATAAACATACTATTTTTTTACATTAAAAAATTAAATGTTTACTAAAATACCGTTTTTAAAAATTATTATATATTCTTGGCGACCTCCAAACTTTAGGCAAGTGATAAGCTTATATTCAACTGCCCGTACTGAATTTCACTGAAATATAAAAAAAATACAAAGCTGACTTTTTAAGAAAGCAACATTATATCAAATTAACTTGATTTAAATTGATTTATTTTCATTCGAGGAAGTATAAATGTATTTTCTTCTTAATAGCGATAAACTAAATAACATTGTGTCATATTTCACACATCTACCTAAGTGGTACAAAAATTATTTTTATTATTTTCGCTTTGTACATCATATTTGACAAAATCGCCTACCAAAAGTGTTACGTACGAGATATTCGGTAGCTTAGAATTTCTGTTTGGCAAATAGAATCGCTTCAAAGTGAATAAATCCGCTGAAGATTAATCCCCATAAATTTTTTGCCAACAGTTTACCAAAACACGTCGCCTGATGATGAAACCGCACACATTCCTCTCCTATCTATTTGATTCCTTAATAGCCCGACACTGTTCGACGCGAACGGATTTGTTGAAATATAACAAAAAAAATCGGCTTACCCTTGTTAACCTTTTTCTCGGGAGATTCACCTTTGGCACAACACAGAACCTTGAAATTAGTCATACTGACCCTTCGGCTGAGGCAAATTAGCAACGACAAAGGTATCCCGTGGAAATATCTGACATTTCTTCGAACATTACCGGCAATGTCGCCCGCGCCAGGGGTTACCTACAGAATGTAATAATTTTGTTTACATTAAATCACTTTTTATAGGCGGATCTCGTCAGCACTTCAATTGTTTTATTACAACAATTTCTTTAATTGATAACGGTGATAAACGCGAATTAATATATCGATATATGCGCGCGTACATCGTGTTTATACCTATATATACGATGTCCGAAACCTTTAGTTCGCTAATAGGGACTCCCGAAGACGGTTGGGAGGTTCGCAGAAATCTTCACCTTTTTCGGTTGCATGTCACTGATAACAGAATGCAAATTTGCAATTTTTCTGTTGAGCAATGAATATTCTGTTATTCAGTTAAAATCCCGTGACGATTCGGTGATGAAGGTAAGGGTATTTCCATAGAAAAAACGAATTGGAGGGATATTTTAGAAAATAAAACGGACTGTCTTTGAACAATAGGCTATGGTTCTGTTTAGTATTACATCAAAAAATGGATAAAATCACTTCCCATGAAATGTTTTAGCTAAAAAGATAAAGAATCAGTGTATTAAGGGGGTTCGTTTGGTACGAAAAAATGCAGCGAACTTCGTATTGAGATATATTGTGAATTATTCTCGAATTATTTGTCTATTGGTTTTTTAGTTTTAATTAATGCCAAAAATTTGAATATTCTAGTCTGATAAAAAAAATCGACTATTTTTTTTTTAAATTCCCTCTGAAATAGATTCAGGTAGGTGAGAAGAGATGCCTGTAAAAATCGGAACTTAATATAGTCCGGTCAAATTAGTCATAAAAATAACGGTCAAATAACGAAAATTCCGACAGAGCTAAATTTTGGTGGAGACCTTGGGTACACCATTAGAAATAAAGTGTCAAAAGTCCCCACCGATTCCATGTGTGCTAAAAAAGTTATTCGGGGTCAAAGGTTGGATTTTTTTCGAAAACGGCAAGTTTTATCAAAAAAGTAGTCCAGACAAAAATTATAGATCTTAAAATTATCTACAAAAATGGTCCTTATCTTTTTTTCTAAGAATCACCATTCCTGAGATTCTAAAAGTTGAAGGAATCACGTTCTACACGATATGCACATATTATATGCCACGTATATACATAGTCAGACACTTAATACAAGTAAAGATGCCTATCTCCTCTACCCGCATGGCCTTGAATAACATCTGGCTACTCTATTGTAAAAACTTTTGTAAAAAATACACGAAACAAGAAACAAGTACAACTATCTTGTCTTCCTCCAACATCGGCTTCTGCTGATCAACACTTGTATCGAGTATACTATCAAGTTCAAACATGCCTAGGCAATCAACTGAACCCATAAGACTAGGATTGGAAATTAACAGATAATACTTTGGATGAATTGATGAATCAGATGAAAATATCAAAAGAAATCAGAACTACAGTTAAAGTCAATAACCAATATCAATATCAATAATCATCATGCAGTGAAAAGAGTATTGTCCTTGAAAATTTCGCCTTAACTGTTCGTGGAATAGGCCTACCGGGGACTGGGTCTGGACTACTTTTTTGATAAAACTTACCGTTTTCGAAAAAAAATCCAACTTTTGACCCCGAATAACTTTTTTAGCACATATGGGATCGATGGGGACTTTTGACACTTTATTCCTAATGGTGTACCCAAGGTCTCCATCAAAATTTAGCTCTGTCGGAATTTTTGTTATTTGAAATGTCTATTTTGACCGGATTATTATAAATATTCAGAGGGCGCGCATCGCGATTATCTATTTACCATTTAAATAACATGGGAAAATTATTCTTCAAATTCAGAATTTTATATCTTAAAAACCAATAGACGGATTTAAATGACCGAATCTTATTCTTGTAGGGAATTGAACGTTCTACAGAAAATGTCCCTTAACATTTTTTGATAAATCTACTATAAAAATTATTCAAAGTTAAAATGTTATAATTACACTTTTTTCTCCAGTTTCAGGTAAAATTATTAAAGTTATCATGAAATATTATAAAAAAAAGGCATTTAACTCTTTCAGTCTCAGTGGTGCATAAAATGTACCGCCGTTTTTTATTCCTCCAGGTCTTGGTAGTACACATTTTGTACCAGTTATTCAAAAATATTTCCCAACCGTCACAGCCTTGTACTTAGACTTGTAACTAACTTTTTCTGATATCCTCTATAATAACGGAGATATCGTACTTCGATGCACTAATGCCGCACCTTGTATATCAGATTGTATTATACTTTCATAAATGCAATCGTTTTAAACCCTTGTCTTATAAAGAAGATTTTTATTCACAGAAGTGCGTCCTAGTAGTATGCTACTTATTTATGCATGTAACTAAATCATATTTAAACTTTTCCACGCGAACCACTTAGTGATCACAGTTTGCATTGTTTTGTTTATAACTTTTTTCTCTTGTTAGACATCACAGAAATGTAAACCTTATTGAAAAAAAATAATAATAGAAAAAATTATGTACTCTTAATTCAAGTTGATAAATGTAACCGTTTAGCAGGAAATCGCTATTAATCGCTATTAAAATTTTATTAAACATCAAATTTTGAAATTAAAAAAAAATTGCATTACATACTGCTCTTATTTTAATCCGTAGAATCATCTCCCTGAGTTTCCTGACGGACTTTTAGAGCACCCTATATACATGATAGGGACTGCCAACTGACAAGTAATAAACTCAGTATACTCGTGCGATGTGGCCAAGTTTCTGTTGCAACTTTTGGCATTTATGCATATTGAGTAAAAAATAATCATTGAGAAATGGGAATATATAATTATAAGTATCTTCATCTCGATTTCTTTTTCTGTTGTAATGAAATTTAGTTAATCAACATGATAGCCCACATTAAATGTTATTTATTAATAGNATTTGAAATTTTTTAAAATTATTTCTTTACTAATGATAAATGACTTTTCGGTTGTGATAGTTTAAAATTTTCCACTATATATCATATTATAACAAATTGGTTAATATTATAAAAATTTCGTCTTAACAACGGATATTTTGTAATGTTTTATAACAATTCGTCACACTGTCATTTGCCCACGGCCAACTTGTTATAATAAGAATTTTTAAAAACTCTCTTTTTGTTATTAAGTGGTACATATCTCAGAAATTAACGATTTTAGCTATAGGGAATGCTTTTTAAAAATGAAAGAGCATAAAGTGTATTTTCAGTTTTTAAAATAAAATACAGGGCGATTCATTTAAAAAAATTGAGAAAATTATGTATTCGAGTTTTGGCTCGCCCTATATCCAACTGTTGCAATAATAAAGAAATAGCACTTTCTAGTAAAACTGTACCAATATTAAAATGTTACTCCTGCAAAAAATTATTGTGAAGTTGTTTTATTTAGGGTATAGAGGACGCTTAAATGGAAATGATTCTCGTATACAATTGACCATAACTTTTGAAATACCCTGTATAACATAATTAAACCCAATATTGGAAGCATGGGAGAGATGAGCTTAATCAAAATTTGAATTAATATGTAGGGTCTCATTTAAAAAATAGTATATTTGGTTCACCCTGGTAATACGTAACACTCTGTATATACGAAAATAATTTTAAAATGTGCAGTTTTAATTTGGTTACAATTTTTGTGAATAACTTTTTTTGATATCCTCTATAATAACGGAGATATCGTACTTCGATGCACTAATGCCGCACCTTGTATATCAGATTGTATTATACTTTCATAAATGCAATCGTTTTAAACCCTTGTCTTATAAGGAAGTTTTTTATTCTCAGAAGTGCGTCATAGTAGTATGCTACTTATTTATGCATGTAACTAAATCATATTTAAACTTTTCCACGCGAACCACTTCGTGATCACAGTATGTGTTGTTTTGTTTATAACTTTTTTCTCTTGCTAGACATCACAGAAATGTAAACCTTGTTGAAAAAAAAATAATAGAAAAAATTATGTACTCTTAATTCAAGTTAATTTCCTGCTAAACGGTTACCGTTTAGCAGGAAATCGCTATTAATCGCTATTAAAATTTTATTAAACATCAAATTTTGGTAATTCTTTCTGCAATTAATCAAGTTGCCATGCTGTAATACCATCTCTTGTAAAATCAACTTCGTTAGTAAATAAAATTTTATTAATAAATTCATTATCCTCGACTTATTTTTCCACAACGTTATTACAGAGCCGAAAAAAATTATTATGGTGAAAAATCAAACATACCTGCTTTAAACAATTTTTATGACAATTTGCAACACCAAAATTACTAATGATATTTATTTGAAGCATGGCAACTTGATTAATTACAGAAAGAATTATCAATAATTTGATGTTTAATAACATGTTATTAGCGATTTCCTGGTAAACAGTTACATTTAGCGGCTTGAACAAAGAGTACATAATTTTTTCTGATATTGTTTCTCTTTTTCAATAATGTTTAAATTTCAATGATGTCTAGCAAGAAAAAAAAGTTATGAACAAAACTAATTTTGAGTTCTAGGTGTCTAGCGATGCTTAATGAAACAATTAACAAATTAAAATAAAATTGCATTACATACTGCTCTTATTTTAATCCGTAGAATCATCTTCCTGAGTTTCCTGACGGACTTTTAGAACACCCTATATACATGACAGGGACTGCCAACTGACAAGTAATAAACTAAGTATACTCGTGTGATGTTGCCAAGTTTCTGTTGCAATTTTTGGCATTTATGCATATTGAGTAAAAAATAATCATTGAGAAATGGGAATATATAATTATAAGTATCTTCATCTCGATTTCTTTTTCTGTTGTAATGAAATTTAGTTAATCAACATGATAGCCCACATTAAATGTTATTTATTAATAGGAAACTGATATTCTGTTCATTTTTGTTGTTTACTTAACCATATGTATTCCGAAAAACAATGGAAATTTGGTACAGGCAACATTTGCTAGAGGGCGTTATTTCCATTTTTCTGAAGTCTTATGACATAATTCTTGAGGTTAAGTTTCGTTAAAGTGTGTCTTGTATATGAATGTTAAATTTCATTTAAGAATATACTCATGTATCGCTGAAAAATTTTCAGAACAACGTGATTGATTATCATAAAACTTCCTCAATATACAGAGTG